ACAGCAGGGTTGAGGGTTTAGGGTTAAAGGGGGGTTCAGGATTTAGGGCGTGCTCCCGGCTTCAAAGGATCATATTGTGGGTGCCTGAAGATTGACCACTAGCAGAAAGGAAGCAACACAACAAATAAACATGCGCCGGTCAACAAAAAAGCATCAGCTAGACCCACCCAGATTTTGGTAGCGGCTGGAATGAGAAAAAATTGCGCATTAGAGTGGCCCACCGCTTTAAACCTGACTCCACACTAGGGCCGAGATGAGCATGAATCGTCTGTGCTCAGGACATTTACAAACACTAAGACATCGTCTTGAAGGTTTGTGATCTACTTCAGTTGGCATACTCTGATCCTTCGGTTTTCGTGTTGTCTCCGGCTCGGCTGGTCGACGGTTCCCGGATGTCGCTTGTCTGCCTCCTGGTTGGTGTCCAGGTTCTCCCACAGCTCGGTATCTCTGCGTGTTCGTGGTTTGGATGTGGGAAACCGCAGGTTGGGACTGGGGCCAACAAGTTGTTACGGATAGCTGCATGCAGGGCAGTGGTCAGTTCCTGATGCCGGTTGGGCTCTGCAGATTCCTAGAAGAATGCAAGCAGATGATACCAGATGGTTGCATGGGGTAAAGTCGCGCAATGTCTCGAGCCACAGCCTACAGCGCAAGCTTTGACGTTTGCAAATGATACAGCATCAAGAGTATCTCGGTGCCCGCAGCAGGGCCAGGGGCATGTTCCGATATCCGATATTGCTTCAGTTGACGCTTCTCGGCGAAGTGATGGCGCGGCCGCGGCCGTAGCGGACATGGCGTCTGCGGGTGTCCGCCTGAACCCCGCAGACCGAGAGCATGGCCTGGCCCTGTTAGGTCAGCCGCCTGGATGTGCTGCGTTTGCCCAGCTGCCCACTTCCCCTCATCCTCTGCACTTTGCAATTGGTGCTTCTCACGAAAGCTAGTGAAGCTGTACTTGAGCTTAGGCTTGCTCAGGAGGGCAGGACAAGGTCAGCGATTTTGATGCTATCATCGGTCGTTGAAGCTGTATTGAATGGTTCTCGGGATTCCTGGAAGGGGACCACATCAAAATGATTGCACAGCCACAATCACGGCAACGACGACAACAATGTCAGTAGAAACAGGGACGACACAAGATCTATGACAACAGCATGCTGCTGGCAAGCATGACAGCAGCCGCAGCAGTGACACAAACACGAATCACTAATATCTAACAGTATAACTGGCTAGACGCTAAGGTCACTAAGGAGCACTCGAGCGTTCTCCCTTGCAGTTTGAGATGAGTCTTGGTCGGCTGCCCCCGCAAGTTGAGGCGAAAGCAACGGCCGACAAAAGGCACGTGAGGGGCACACCTGCCCGCGACGAGAGGCAGGCTGCCGCAAAAAGCACGTCTGCTTTTGCACAGGCAAGGAGGAAGTCCGGGGGCCAATGGGCCCCGATCTCGGGAGAGTGCAAGGCAGACGATCGACGTCTCGCCGTGAAGCGAGTCATGTGGTCAGGTGGGTGTGAGAGCAACACATGGGGTTGTCAAGTCTGGCCGGTGGGCTTTCTGTGCCCGGAGTCCCAGAGTGACTCCACCCACTGCCAGAAGAAGGCATCTCCAACCATGGCCTACACTAGGTCTGGAATGAGAGCGGTGGCAATCTTCGGGTCGGTCAGTTGCCTATGCTGCATCGTTGCGTTGTGCCAATCCAACACGGGCTTGGCATCGAACAAGCAGCTTCAGGCTGGTCATGCGAACGAGCAACCCTGAAACTAGGCTCGTCGTTTTATGTTGACTGGCGCATCCGACATGATTAGCTCCTTTACTACAGGCACTGACAAGTGGTCCTTCGGCTATGGTGGCACTGCAACGAAATCGAATGCTGGACAGCCCAGCGCTTAAGACCTACGGCCATGGGAATGTTGTCTGCAGGCACCCGAATCCAGCTTGTGATTTCATGCAAAGTCTATGCCTGGTCAGTCCGAGGTTCACCAAGTATGGTCAAACCTTTGGTCAAGCTGATGTCGTCCTCTCGGAGGTGTCAGTGCAGTCAGAGCCAAATCCCTGTAACCTGCTCTAGACTCCCATGGCTTGAAGCGACTGGCTTCAGGCTTTGGCTCTGTTCATAGCTTTAGCAGTCAGGAGCCGAGCCATGGGATATATAACCTGAGCCCTGCTCAGTATGGCCATGGAGGTGTGCAGGCAGGTTGGCATTGCTCCGCTTGCCCAGCGGCCCACCTGCTGCGGGCCATGGTCGCGTTTCCGGAACCACGGTCTACGTAGATCTGCGGACATCAGCACAGTGTGGGCTGTGCACTGCTCCGCTGCATTTGCGGCACTGTGCGGTGCTGCACAGCCCAGAAACTGGCGGCAGAAGCGGCAGACTTGCAGGGTCAGAGCGTCCAGAACGTCCAGAGGCATGGAGGTGGTCCAAGATGGCACGCTCATGGGCGATCGGCCGAAGGTCCGCTACATGTGGCAAGTCCCACAGGCTGCATCGCCTGAGCTTGTCCTGGCTGGTCGTTCGAATGCAGGTAAAAGCACCCTTCTGAATGCGGTGTTGGCTGCAGCCGGAGCAAAAAAGGCCGCTCCGATGTCCTCCAAAGGTGGTCGAACTCGCACACTGAACTGGTATCCTATAGGCTTTAAGATTCCTTTGGGCTGGCACGGGGATGGTGTCCGGGTTTCGCAGCAAAGCGAGGGCCAGAGTCTTGAAGACGAACTCAGGGCAGCTGGCGAAGGCTGCTGTTTAGTGGATTGCTTTGGTCTTGGTGAGGTGGAATACTCGGATTTAAAGGCAAAGCGTCTCCAAACTTGGGGACCCTTGTTACGGAAGTTTTTTTGCGAACGCCGTGCCTTGAAGACACTCTGCCACCTCATCAGCTCTGAGCAAGAAGGCCGGCTGTCACCGGGCGACGAACAGCTTGTGGACATTTTTCGGCGGAGCGCAGCAGACCGCAACTCTTCGGGTCTTCCGCCGCTTCGCTATGTTGTAGTCTTGACCAAGACGGACTTGTACGAATCCTCGCAGGTTGCACAGTTTCAGGAAAAGCTGAGAGAGGCTCTGTTGGATCTTGGGCAGCCGCCCTCTGACATCGTGTCCTGTACTTCGCTCAGCACTGAGGGAATCAAGGATTTCCAGACAGTTGTGAATGAAGCAGTCCGGCGAGGGTGGGATCAGCTGGACGAGTGGATCGCTGATGCGATGAAAACACGAAGACTTCCTCAGGGCAGAAACAAAAACGAAAGGCAAAGTGCCAAAGCGGCCTACACATCCACGGCAAAGCAATCTGCCAGACAGCCCTCTCGCGGTGGCAAAGGAGCAAGTACAATGATGCCTCCATCAGTCTAGACTTATGAGCTCCTTTTCGAGGGTTTCGACCTGTTGCAACTGGGTCAGCCGTGCGGCATGCCACAAAATCAGATACGATCCGCGCAAGACCTGTGGCACTGTCTGCTGTTCTCGGATGCATGTACCTCAACACCAGCACGAACTCCGGCACAGTAGTCGAGGCCATCACTTGCTGTGTGGACTTGGACCGGCGAGCAATCACGTGCCCATGATTCTGCTGTGTTTGCAGAGCAGAGACAACTCCTGGAGAAGGTACATGAAGAACGGACGAGAAATCCCTGGCGACGCGCCCCTGCCGCATTGAAAATACCTTGTTCGGCAACAAGCCCTTTGGTTCTGAGGCTTTCACTCTCAGCAAGGACTTGCATGGATGGGCCTTGTTCCCCCACGCCGCGCACTCATCGCGCAAGTTCGGGGCCATTACATGGGCTCGCTAGAGCGAAGGTGTACACAAAGGAAGCAACGTTCTCCGTGTCTTTTGATGGACGCGGCGGAGTCGCGTGCTAAGCTCGAAGATACCAGCCGAATATCCAAGCACGACTGAGCCTTCAGCCAGCTTCAGGCCCCACCGCTTGTGGGTGGATACCAGTGGCTCGCGCAAGCAGAGAAGGACCGGCCGATGTCCTTGCTGGGCTGGCATTTTCTCTTTGTCCTTCTGACAGGGCACTCTTTCGCCCAGCCCCAAGCAACCTCGAGCCGGACAGGGCCAGAACCTCAGCACAGTGTGCTCAAGACTCGGCTGAGCGGCACTCGAACGCAGGCGAAGAGGATCTAGAGGACGGGGTGAGTGGCCTCAGTCCAGTTGTTGCGTGGCTGCCTTACGTCGGCATGCCACCCAGGCTACGAGCACCTCTGGCGGCTTCGTGCTGACAGCATACGGATGGCGAAATGCTGCGGAAGTGGGCGTGCGAGAGCCTCGGATCATGTACACGGACACTTGTCACGGTCAGTGCCTTGCTTTCAATGATTCCGTGACCTCTCTGCCACAGCTCTGTACAGGCGTTTTAATTCAGCTCTTCGAACAACCCCAAAACGGGGTTGTTCTTAGTTGTTCTTGGTGTTGTTGCGCCAAAGCAGCAGATGGCCTCTGGAGCTTATGCCCCGCTTACTCAATCTGCTGCACAGAGCCTGGATTGATATGGTCCATATGCTTGATTGATATGCTGCTGGTTAAGCCTCACCGATTCACACAGCGTCACCATCGGAGGGACAGTGCGCTGAGACAGTCTGCAGTAGCGACAAAGCGAGGAGGTGGTGCATTTGCCAAGGACAGGGCTCAGCATGAACTGCTGCCAAATTCTGGCAGTGATCCTGGTGAATGTCCTTGCTCTCCCTCTTCAGATCTTGGCTTTGCCATTCCAACTGCTCTTTATTTTGCTCATGTGGGAGGCTCAGATCGAAGGTGTGTCGCGACAATCGGTTGTTCGACGCGACGGTTCGGTTCAGTTCCGAAGATACAGGTCTGTGAAGGAGTGGTCAACCAAGGCCACTGGTGAGCTTCTGCTCGGCACTCAGCTTGAGGAGGCGAGCTGCAGCCATTGATCGACGGGCAGAAGATCCGCTCGTTGCGCAAACTTGGGGATCATTGGAGGCCTGCCTTTGTTTGGAGGCCATTTGCAGTGCGGTGCAGTGCCGCATCCGCCACGGCCCTGATAGGAGCTCTTGTCCCGACCTGCGGTCAGTGTCGACGTCTCCGCGACATGGCCGATGGTAGTGCTGGCAGCCCTACTGCTTCCAATGATCTTGGCACCTTGGCTTCTGCATCGCTATCGAGGAAAAACTGCTTCAAGGCTATGCATCCTGAGGTCAACAACTTACTTGCCATCTGGATCCCGCCGTACTTTGCTCACATTGCCCGGATGGCAAAATGGCACCAGCTGTCTGCCACAGGCAGGTATCATTCCCCACTGAAACAGTGCTAGGGATAGATCCACGGTGTCAGGCTGTGGGAAGGTGCTCTTCTCCTGGTATTACTGGAACTGGCATGTCCTCTTCGGTACTCTGATCGCATACATGGGGCAGCGGCGTGTCAGTGTCTATGCCTTTGAAGGCAGGGCATTTGCACGGGTCTATGGAGCTTCTCAAAGATATAATGCAAGGGAGAACAAGACTCCAGGTTTCATAAATGTGGGGCCCGAGGAACCTAGCTGCAGCACATGCCCCAATGCTCCAGGAACTTCACACTTGTGTTCTCATGCACATCATTCTGCAACCGAGTCCCCGGGACCACCCGGTAAACCAGCCCATAGTGAAGCTGGTGACAAAGCAACGCATTGCGCGTTGATGCCAGTGCTGCCATGTGGTATCCATGCCAAACGAACTGCACGATCGTTTCCGTCCGAGGTTCTTGAAGTAAACTGCCACTGTATCGTGGCGACCAGTCGCGGATATAACATGCAGCGACATTTCCTTAAGGCTCCCTGGGGAGCTGCAAGCTAATTCGGCTCGAACGCGGGATGCTCCGATATTCTCAAGCCAGGAGTTTTTAGCAGCATTGGCGAGCTTTCTGAATCATGTGGGCCGTCTGCACCGGTTAAATCTATGCCATGCGGCACACGACATCTCGCAGCCGAGATCTTGCACAGGTGAGGCGCAAGGTGGTGGTGACTATTGGTGGCATGGACAAGGCAGGGTGTTTCGCCCGCTCGACAGTTGGCACCGACACATCACCGACACAGTTTAACTTGGCTCCTGGTAGGCTACTTCACTGGGACGCACGCTCTGGTTGATCAACTCGCCTCATGCCTCCAAAGAGCCTTCCGGATGGGCTCATAGGAAGTGACTTCGAGGTTTCTGACTCAAGCGGAGTGGGGCAAAAGACTTTCGTTTCTTTTGCGATTTTCTTTCAGGCACTAAAGCTTCGCTGAACGGAAGTGTTCTACTGACTACGGCGCATCAGGTACATGAGCAGGAGCAGGGCGGAGAAAGAGTGGACCCAGAGAGACTGCAGCAGATTCGTCCCTCCAATGGCTATAACATTTTCCAAGGCTATGGGTGTGCAAGATCGTGGATTAGGACGCGCCGCCTTCGATGCGGTGGTTCCAGAAGTCTTCCCGCTCGACTCGATGATATTTCTCCCCAACAGCCACGAGGACGGGTTACATTTCCTTTGCACGACTCCACCTCCCCGCTCAACTCGTCACCCAACCTGCTGTTGCCCTGTGAGGCGACCTCCAAGTGGGCTGAAACCCGGAAAGTCATGCACGACTTCTGGCTTTCAGCAACTTGATTACAGAGAACATGCTGGTCAACGCACACGACAGTCTCGGTCTTGCCCTCCCCGGCTGAGCGGGCTAGGTGTCATGCTGTACTCCTGGATTGAGAGCAAGGGAGTGGAGACGACATGTTTTTGTCTGCTTTACATTCTCCTCCACTTTACGCAGTTCTGCTTTTTGCTCTAACTCTCGCTAGGGTCCTTCGCTCCTGCTATCTTCTGCTTTGCAGTTGTGTGGCCGATTGAGAGACTGTGCCCAGGAACAGGGCCCAAACTATGCGCAGCGGGTCGGACACTTGAAGGACACTCTCGTGAGACTGTGTCGTCAATTTTGCGAAATGTGTTTGATTGCTTCCCGCATGCCGCAGGGACTCGTCAAAGAAAGCTGGAGCACTCCCAGCCTGGACAATTTGGCTAACATCAAGGCCAGATCAAGCATGCGGGCTGAGCAGGGGGAGGATTGAAGAAGTGTTGTGCCAGGTAGCGTCGGTCTTGGTGTCTCGGTGCCTGTTCTACGTCTTCTTCGGCCATTGGCTAAATGACGAAGAGGCACCGTGACGTGCAGGTTTGTTTTAGCAGACCGTTTGAACATGCTGACGTCCCCCGCAGTTCTAGCATGAACATTTCAGCATCGAGTGCTTGCAGAGCCACATCGGCCCTGTGCAGGCCAATGTCATGAGCCGTTGGGCCCGCGATGCACCACTGCTTGTCACGCCTCGGTTCATGCACCGGTGGCCCAGCTGCAGATGAGCCCACGAAAGGATTAGTGATTAGATCCGTTGCAAGCTTCGTCACATCCTGTCATTGTCTAGAGTCTGGAGGTTAGTTGCCATCAGCATCGCAGGTTGATGTTCAACTTCTTCGTGCACCAGTGCAAAGACTTTCGTGCAGAGACCATCGCGCTGATCAGCAAGCATAAGCTTGGGCATCTGTGCTGAAAAACGGCTAGCGCGAGGATCTAGCACTTTGCGTAGTGGCTTTCCAGCGACCGAGATGCAGGCACATCTTCAGCACCATGAACTCAACCTTCTCTTCCGCCAACCGTCGCAAGTACGACATCGACCTTTGCAATGAGCTGATGTTCGTTATTGGTTTTGCTGGGATCGGCGGGCCTAGTCGTGCTGCGGCTTCGGTGGCGAAGTGCCTCGCATGCGTTGCTTTGAGAAGAGACCCTTGTTGGTCATTGACAAGTGTAGCCGTGTAACCCCGGATGGAGCTGAGGTTCCTGCTGGCAAAACAGTCGGAAGACCAGGCTGGTGTGACCTTCAGCGGGGCGAACAGCCACTTGATGATCGCCTTGTACAAGAAGGACCCCAAGGCCTTCATCATGGAGACCTGCCGTATTTCATCTCCAGTGGGAACCTTCACCACCCGGCTGACCGCAAGCGCTGCGAAAGAGCTCGGGCTCGGCCTGGACCTAGGCAAAGCCCAGGAGACGCATCTGGCGGGAGTGATCAACGTTTCGAACGTGGATCCCAGGAAGTTCCCGGAGCCCTACAAATTTGACCCTGCACGGCCAAACTTGCCGGATGCACTTACGTGGAATGGAAAGGCTTTCAGTTCCAGAGAATGCGATTACCCTCGCCTTTGCCCCGGGCGAGATTTGAGCATAGAGATCGTGAAAACTCTGGCAGAGGTAGCCTTGGAGGGAACAGGAAGTTAGAGCCAGGAGCACAAGGTCTCCAAGGTCTGATCCTGTGACCTTGCTGTCGATGCGCCGAAATGCCGAAATGCTCTTAACATATCTGGAAAGCTTGTAGCAAGAGCTCTGCGATGCGATGGGAGCTCCGCTTTTCTCTGCTGCTTTTGAAGTCCTCCTTTCAAAGCTTTGAGGAGATTCACGAGGTATTATTGTGCCGAAGTGGCTGTGAGTGCATGAATCTGCCAGTCCAGGTCCCCAACGTCACAGGACAGGCTGAAGACCTAGTCCGTCTGCACACCTGTCTGAGCGGTTGGTTCTTTCTGTGCAGCAGGAATGGAGAGGTGCTCTGGATGCGTACGCTAGTCCCTCAGGAAATGACATCAGTTCTACGCGAGGCCGAACGCAGCAAAAGTGCGAGAGTGTTGTCGCGAGGTGAAGCACTTCACGTCACTCTTGGAGCCACGAGCTCAGCGCGGATTCGCTGGCCGACACTCTGAGCCCAGCTGCAAACAGGGGCTGATTCTGTAGAACCAGCCGTGGTACAAGTCACGTAGAGCAGGTGACGGAAGTGCTTGCGGGCTTATGGCTGGTTTTGGCTTGAGAACACAAAAACGGCAGCATTCCCTTTGATTTCCCCAGGTTGGAATACGAGGCTGAGAAGGAAGCTGTTCTGGAGCGTGTGGGGAGCTTGCGGCAGCTGCCCTGAGTGTTCAGTTGCATGCGACAAGCGCAGTCAGGTCCACAAGCGGAGTGCAAACCAACTCGTAGCAGATGGAACAGGGGTGGATGCCCCGAAAAAGCCCAAGCTCGGTTGGATCAAGCTTCAGCCGGTGCGCAGATCGTTGGCCTGGGGGCCGAGTTCGACCGAAGTGCCGGGAGGATAACGCATTGGCCCTAGTTCATTTTCAGGACTTCCTTGTCATGGCCTGCTGCCTCTCACGAGGCTCTACTGGGAGTACGGTCATTTGCTCCGGCCTCGGGCCACTCAAGTGAAAAGTTCACGGAAGATCTTCGGAACAATGTGGCAAGGCCTTACTTGAGCGAGATCTCCAGAGGAACGGGGAAAACCACGCAAAAGGAGATTGGAAAAGTATTGGTTTCCCTGGCAGGCCGCACTGTGCTCATCAGCACTGTGGATGGTGGAGTCGACGTTGAGGATGCCTCCAAGACCATCTCTGGGGAAGCGGGGGGCTCAGCAAACAGCAGTGCTTGCTGGGGTCCTGCGTGCGTGTTGGCGACCAGAACCAGTCATCTTTGTCAGTGGCTGCCAGTCCTCGTTGCTTCGTGGTGTTGGTTGGGCCGTTGGCGTGACGCGGGTCTGTGCCTGGCCATTTAGTTGGCGGTAGACGCCCCATGGAATGCTGCCATTGCATGAAATGCCGATGGAGCAAGGTGACTTATGTATAGTCACACATCGAATATGCACCGCTGTCTGTGATGCTGCTACACATTCGGGGGAGCCTGAGTTTCATGCTAATCAGCATCCAATGTCGTTCGCCGGTTTGCGACAGGGACCACCCAGAATCGGATCGAATTTGCGGAACTGCCGTGCAATGTACCCACGTGCTCCGCTCCTGTACCCAGAGAATCTGTGGAAGGCGCACCCTGCCAGCCCAGAGGCCGAAGGTGCCAGCTGTAGAGTTTCCGAAACAAAGGTGGAGAGCGTCTCCAGTGACTGCATGGTCGTTGTTACCCAGCAGCTAGACGGCAAGTTCTCGTTTGCTGTCCCTCCAGCGTCATCCTCGCATTTCGTGAGGTACGAGAGGCTGCCTGCCGGCAGGCCGGGCAAACCTGTGGGCAAATTCAGTGTAGATCCAAGTAGTCTGACTTAAGGCGAGGTGGTCGCAACCATCTTTTCCGCAGGGGGCCATTCTCACTCCACTCAGTTCTGTGGCCGGGTCGAACTCATGATGCCCCGCTTTCGCACGCCAAGGCGCAGACCTTGGCCCGAACATCGTGGCATACAAGCGTCCCTGCCTTGTTACACGCAAGGCATGCCGGCTTGTACACTTGGTTTTCTCAATGCGGCAGTCGAAGAGGAAGATGCCAAAACCCTTAACACAAGTCGGTGATTTCTGATCCTGCTCGATATTTGTCTGCTCAAGCTGAAGCCGCAAGAGGAGAGGCGCCGGACCCCAAGCATGCGTGTCAGAGCAGACCGCACCGGGGCACCGGGGGAACACCTGTTGGGACCGGCTGCTTTCGATTCATTTTCCAGGTTTTGCTTATCCGCAGCAGCCCTGCTTCCGACGTCACATGTTCAGGTCAGCCATGGTTCGAGGATGCCGGCATTGGCTGCTGGCTGCATTACCGCTGCAATGCCACTTGTATCTCATAGGGGGCCGAGACGGCGCACATGACAAGAGATGGCGTTTGGCAGATTTTGGCCTTGCTTGGGCGACCCTTCAGGTCCGGGGCTGTTCTTTGAGCTGAAAGCGAAGAGTGCCGGGCCAGCGGCATCTCGTCAGGATGAATCCTGCTTGCGGTTTCTTTTGGAGGTCTTCCTCGTTATCTCAGGAGTGCTTCAAGGCGACTCCCGGGCACGGGCACAGCGTGCATGGAAGCTACGAAGCAGATGGACCGAACGAGGGGGTCCTGGTTACCTTGACCAGCGGCTCCGGCAAGGACGGCAGCTCAGGTTATCCATCCACTGTCAGCCCTGCCAGATGCACACTTGTAGCCCGATGTAGGAACTCTTCCGAAATGCCATGGGCCGAGCTGCAAAAGGTGTTGTGGACTGCCTACCTTTACCCTCGATGCGAGCCTGTCAGACAAGGCCAACCCGTCGGGTCGCTTCAGCATCGAGGTCACGATGCGAGGGGCTGCGACGACAGCCATGCACCACGCCCGCTTGACTCTGTCAGGTGATGGAGGAGCTTCCGCATAAGCTCTGTTTCGAGAGCTCCGTGGAAGAAAGTCAGATGGTGCATGGCCCAATCCAGAAGTGTTAAGCATGGGTCGGGGGGCGGGGGTTGAACCACGTTTCACCTCTGTCAGGTAAGCTTCAACTTCCACGTGGATGAGCACGGAGACGGTGGGCTGCTTCGCCGCATGAGTCTGTGACACTGATTAGTTGTCCTTCACCGGAGGTACGGACCACCACGACAAAGAGCACATGGAGTATGTGACAAAAGAGCACACAGACAAGGTTGAGGAGCCCAGCTGCTTCAACTTTGCCCGGTCATGTTGGTGGTCGGGGCGATGCTGTGCCTGTCAGCAGGCTTCATGCTGGGGTAGTGGGGTTTTGCACTGAGGCTTTGGAGTGGAGAATCGTGTGAAGTGGAGCTGTATACCTTGTTGCGGCGGGCAGTGAAGCGTGGCGTATTGCTGAAGACCCGCAGGGTCATGCGAAATTGTCTCATAGATCTAAATTTCAACCAGAATCCATCGCCATCAGCCGCCAAGAGGCCGGATGTCGGGGTCGCCGCTCGGCTCGTCGGTTTGGCTCTTTGGTAAGTCTCTTCAATCCAAGAAATGCCTCTTCCGTTCTCTTCCTCTATCGTGGCGGAATCTGGTAGTGCATGGCGAGAGAATCAAGCGCTTTTCCGCACGGATGTACCGTAGATGAGCTTTGGCTTCGGTAGCGGCCGCGGACCAGGTTGGGGGGGACGCCTCGTGACAGGAGCTGGTCGCCAAGCTAGAGACAAAAGCCAATGACATCCTCGACCAGCAGCAGTACGCCATCACCCGTGAGGCAGCTTCGACCGTAATGGGGGTTAACCAAAGCACGCAAGCTGCGAAGGCAGTGCACCGAGAGACAGCTGAATCCACCAACGCGCGTGTGATGTGGTGGACCCTTGCGGAAGTGGCGGCCAGTCTTGAATATTGAGATCGACTGAGAGGAGGGTTCCCTCGGAGTAGAGCAGCTGCATAGTGTCACACTGCCGAAAGCAAAACTCATCCTCATGACTCATAACTGACGATCTTGGTAGAAAGCGCTGAGTCAGCACTCGACTGAGGCTGTCCTGATCAGCCTGGCTGCCTTTCAGGTCTACTATCTCCGGTCATACTTTGAGGTGAAGCAGATAGTGTAGCACGGAACTGGCTTTTGCCTTTTGCAAAGTGCGTGAACCGTCTGTACATCCGCCTGCAAGAGGCAGGCACATCTGCGGGGTCTGGGTCTCTACAAGAAAACAACTCAGAAAATTGGCACGAGTGCCTTCACCTAGACCCAGACCTAAAGTGGCAGCGCTAACACGCTGCACGGGCACGATCTAGCAGCACGTCCTAGAGAACGTGCTGGAGAAGCTCCCTGACGCCCAGGCCTTCATTCCAGGATAGCTTGTGTCTTCCACTAAGTGTTTCAGACTGAACCTTGCCTAGGGCCTGGATGTGTCTGTCGTCAGTACCTACACGGCCGTGATCCGCATGTGGAGTCAAAAGCCGGCGCAAACTTTTGAGCGACTTCATTTTCGCCGACACCAGCTGCAGCGGGCTTATGATCAGCAAGTCATCTGAGGCATCGACACCATGCTTGACGAACTGCAAAGATGCACGGGGCTGGACTGATTGGCGCCTCTGTTATCTCCGTCTCTGTGTGTGTGTGTGTGCGCGCTTCTGTTGGTCAGTGAGTACTACGCCGCACTCGCAGCCCCGATAGGCCCTCGAGCGTGACAAGGCAGTGCACGAACAGACCGATCATCCAGCTCGTGTTTTCTATTGTCAGTCAGAACTGTGACGCAGCACGGCACTGTCACAGCGCAGTTCACGCTATTTCTTAGCTTGCCGGTAAGTACAGTTGGCAAGCAAAGCTTCAGCTCACAGCTCGTCAGTAGCACCGCTTCTTCATGACGAATGTAGCCGCTGACATGTGACATATGGCATGCAATGCGGCACGAAGTGTGCATCAATGCCTGCAGCAACTCGAACTTGCTCTGTTTTATGTCGCTGGGCAGGCAGTTCGAAGGATATGCAACACTTAGTGACAGAGAGAGAGAGGGGGCAGATACAACGAAAGCTTCTATTCTTCACTTGTTTCATGTTCTATGAATCACTGATTCCTGCACTCACTGGTTACAGCATTTACCAACGGCCACCAATTGAATTAAAACTCCACAACATGATCGGGCAATACCCCGCGATCTGAAGGCACTGATGTGTGATGGAGAGCTTCATGATACGTATGTGTTTTGTTCCGGAGGGTTGCATCTTCCTTTCCGGCGTGAATCCTTGCCTCCGAGTGCGTTTGCAGAAGTTGTTCTTGGCACCCGCGACGGGCGGGGCGCACTCGCACGCGGTGGGGAGGCAACTCCACACCACAGCCCTGGCGAAAGAAAGAGAGAGGGTCAGAGAGCAGAGGTAGTTACATGGGAGAAAAAAGCGGTGCACTTTTCTGGGGGACATGTAAAAGCTGCGCCTTACATACAGTGATGTTATTCCACGTTGCCTGTTGTGCTTTTCCTGCTGAGAAACTTCAGTCCACTGCCTCCTCCGGTTGTGATGCCCAACAGTCTCGGAACATTTTTTGCTGACTTCTGTACTTGGGGAGGCTTGAAAGCCTGCCGGGGCAAACTCTCGGGGCATGCTCGGGAGCGCCCTTGAGGCTGGAGAGTGTTTTTTTTTTTCAGGTCGGGGGGTGGACAGGGCGGCTTGTGGCCACTCGTCGTAAAAATCCAGGCTCGAAAGCGTACGTGTGCCCTCTTCCGACCCCGGGGTGGCCCAGCAGTAGGAACGAGGCAGCATACCACGAAGGCGAAGACGCGATCCACCCGAACCAGGACTTGGACGAGGACTCACCGGAGGAGCACCAGGGCAAGCGGCCACCTCCCCGTAGAAGGCATCCAGGTCGAGACGCTGAAGACCCACCTCGCGGGGAGGAGGACACCAACCAGGCATGTCCGTGACAGTAGCAAGGACCCAGAAAATGATATCCACAAACTACGTGGAGGAAACTCAGCCAGAGGGGGTACGAAAGGGCATGAGAGGGCGCACAAACCTCCCTTGATGATTCGGGGAGTTCAGCAATGCCTCCGCTGCCGTACAGAAGGCCGGCGGGTAAACACCAGGCGCTGAAGACGAGTGGCAAGTGAACCATGGCCACCAAGTTTTGAACGTACGTAGCCGTACCAGCTTTTGCAAGTGCCGGGGGACCCGAGATCCGTGAACAAACCTGCTGTCTTATGCTAAAATGAAGGAGAGGCGTCTTTCACTGTCGTCCTAACTTTTGTGATGAGGGGGCACTCGCTAAACTTTGATTGGTGTGCCTGCAGCAAGCAAGCGCCTTGCGGGGCCGGTAACAGGAGCACGTTTTCTTTCACCTCGCTCACACATCTTGAATTGACCTGCCTCCAGGGAACACTCGGGTCCAGTCTCCCAGTCGGTCCGCGAGACCAGCGTACAGCCAAGTTTCTCGACCAAAATGGTGGATGGGGGAGCGCCTGGAGCGCGGGTCGAGGGGCTTCGGCTCTAACCCCAAGCAAAGCAAAGAGAGAGACTCATGGGGGTGGTTCGGTACCCGAAAAACGAGGAAGCAAGCAAGGGAGAGAGTTTGGCTCAAGTCGACCCGCCGCTTCCTTCGGGGACTCGAGGGCGGCCCTTTGGCTCTGCTGTCTGTTCGCAGCAGACCTGCTGGGTGGAAGTCTTCCGCCGACGCCGTTTTTCTTAAGTGGCCCTGCAAAAACCCCAGCTTTCCTCGGAACCTGACAGTGGCCCCTTTTCTGGGAGGGTGGCCCGCCAATAGGGGAAGAGGCATACAACATCTTCGTGGAACTCCGGGCGAACGTCTTGAACTACCTGCACCTGGACCTCGACGATGGCGAGCAGTTCGGAAACCCCTGGCCATACGAGGAAAGAAAAGCAAGGCCGGTCCAGACCGCCCCGCGACCCCATGGCCAAAGCTCTGGCCAAAGCTCCCAAAAACAGCATTATGTGGGGGGACCAATGTCGACCCGCAGAAAGACCCCGAGGCCCGGGGGTTACGTGCACAGCATGCCTGGACGGCCCTTTCTACCACAAGCCCCATGACAGGGGGATGGGTGCTATAAGCACAAAGTTGCCATGGGGCAACTTACCAGCGTGGGGCAACCATGCGACCTGCGCAGAACACTGGATGATGACGCCACTCAAGACCCAGTGTCCAGAGAACCGGGGGGAGAACAGACTCCGCACGAGAGAGGCAGGGGGAAGTGCAGGCCGTTATCCGAATACGTCAGGTTCGAGACTGAACAAGGCGCGATGCTTCTCTACGAGCCAAGTGCGCTGGACAAGTGGATCGGAATGTGCCTCCGACAAGATAGCGGAACCGGGGAGTTTGTCAACCACGAAACGGGGAGGACAGTGATGAGTACAGGCGCCATATACAGAAGCACAACGAGCGGCGAGACACAGGTCGCCGCACAGATCGGCTCGTGTCTTTGGTGGGGGAAGGTAACCCACGCCCACGTGTGGAAGCTGAGCTGCGCTTCTTCGTGGCTAAGCACCCATGGAAAGTAGCTGGCCTCCTCAGGACGACTATAGAGCTGTTCCTGAAGACCGCGAGGGCCACAGGTAAACCTCTTTCCAACACGGCCCGACCTTGGCCGCCAATCATTGGCTCTTTCAAAACACCGTCGATGCTAGGCGTTCGGATGACACACAAGATGTTGAATTCGGGGGGACCTAGAGGCTATAATTCATTCCCGTTCCCTTTCAATGACAGTCGACAGCACTCGCTCGAAGCAGCGAGGAAAGCGTGTTTTTCCTCAAAGCGGTCTTTGCGACGGATTGATGCGAACCTGGAGGGAGTAGGCCTACGGGCTGGGGGGTTTCGGCCCCCATACCCCAAGCAAGCAAGCAAGCAAGCAAGCAAGCAAGCAAGAGAGAGAGAGAGAGAAAAAAAGGGCGGGGGAGAACCCGCGAGCAAGCAAGCAAGGGAGGTCATTTCATAGCTGACCAGGCCAAGAGACCAGGGAGCCTGCACGCAGAGGAGGTTCTGCTGCTCTATTGACTGTGGGGAAGAAGAAGAAAAGAAGTCATCCCTGCAGAGGGGTTCAGCTGCACGCTTCGACGGACGGGATTCAAACAGCTTTCACCGTAACTGTACATACACATGCACGTTCTGAGTGCTGCCAAGGATGGCCCCAGCATCAGCGCCCTGCAGGTATCAGCAAAATCCCTTCGCACAGCAATGCAACAAGGTCTGCTGGAGGCCAGGCAGGTGCCCCTAGGCACACTCCTGCAGCGTCGGGTCCAAACTCGATGATCCGCACTTGCCAGGTTTTCTGCCGATTTGTGAGCCACCCTGTCTCTGGACACAATCTGACGGGGGCCATTTGGAAATTGGCACACCTTGCACCGAAGGGAAATGACAAAGCGTGTGCAGTCATCAGCTGCCTTGCTGAATGATGCGTGCGCAGAATATTGCATTGCATTGTCTTGGAACCGATCACCACTTGGGCTTGCGTGTGTTGAGGTGCTCGCCTTCGTCATCGACGCTGCTGCGTGCGAGAAGCTGCTGTTCTGGCTTTGGGACACATGGCACACTCCGATCTCGTGCCGAGGACCTCAGGAGCCTCCAAAAGGCATCGCAAAGGATCTCTGCTCTGCGATTCAGTCAAAACTCGTCAGGATACGAGACTGTCTCTCAGATGGCCAAGGGCGGGTTCGTGCCTCTGCCGCCTGGGCACTGTCTCAGCTGACGGAGCAAGGAGAAGCTTCGTCTGCAAGCCGCCAAAGGCTGCACATGTCAGCACGCGCGTCTCACCTCGGAGTCGCACGAGCTTCACGCACTTTCGACTTAGTTGCACTCGGCTTGTGCCTAAGGATTTGGAAACACTCCGAGCGACAATGATCTTGCTTGGTGATGAGTCTATTGATGCCTGCAGAGCCGCAGTTCAGTGCATTGTTACAGTCGCGCGACAAGGGGACGAAAACGTCACTCGCCAGCTCACCGAACTGCTTGGAAGCGGATGTGCGACAACCCGCTGGGCAGCACTGGAGACCCTGTCCCGCATCACGCTTAAGGGCAATCCCGCCGTGGTTGCCAGCCTCGTCCCATGCCTTGAAGATCCCGACCCGGAGATCCGAATGTCAGCAGTTGATGCACTGCGGCGGGTTTCGAGCTCAGACGTCTGATTCTCGTGTGAAGACATGAGGCCGAGCCCGACCGTGTGCATGTGTAAGGTAGCAATTCACGGTGACCCGGTGGCAGTCCAGGGCGCATTGCAGCGCTTGGACCACCGAGATGGCTCTATTCGAGCTGCGGCATTGCGGACTATGTCGTGGGTGGCCGAAGTTGGCGATGCAGCCGCCATCACCAAGGCTCTGGCACTTTACCTGCGGCTTCTGCTGATTTCGTATGAATTTGTTGGTGAATTCATCGTGCCTCAGGCCAAAGGTTGCCTGGATGATGGAGTGTCGAACGTTCGTGCTGCTGCTGTTGAGACGCTGGCAAAGCTGACGCCATCCAAGGGCGATGTCGAGGCAGGCCGAATGTTGCAGCAGCGTGCCGTTGTGTGCAAGGAGGTGTAGGGAGGAATGGCTCAACGAAGGTCATCTCCTGCGTGGTTGCGCGCTTGGAAGACGGCGAGTCTTTCGTTCGCACTGCTGCCATGGAAAGCTTGGTGAAGGACGGCTGACAGCAATCTTGAGCACTTGCAAAAGCAGGGCGCGCGTTGATCGGAGTGCTTGGAGGTCGCCGACGAGGGTGACCTGACAGCTATGCCAGCCCTCTTGTCTCTGTTGGAGCATCAGGACTCCACAGCAATGGTTGAGCAAGTTCAGCGGTCCTCCCCACTTGCCCTCGACGATCCTGGGCAGGACGGGCGTGTTCGGTTGGCAGCAGTGGAAGCCCTCGGGTGCCTGGCACTGAAAGCTTGAACAGCTCAGTCATTGAGAGTGCCAATGAGCGCCGAGGCAGCTGGCCCCGAAAGGGGATGAAGCCGTTCTTGCTGCCGTTTCAGAGCTGCTGGAAGACCGCCACACCGGCGTCTGCTGCACGGCGGTTCAGGCACAGAGCTTGAGAGTCTGGCATGTCCGGTGGAGTGCTCTTATGTTCAAGTCAGGTCTTGGCACACTTGTCCGGCAAGAGCGAGGAGGCTTGTGCGGCCATACGTGCAAGACTTGAGGATGTTGCAGGAGAGGCTCTGCGAGCAGCTGCTGCCTATGCTTTGGGTGACCAGTTGGACCTCAAACAGGAGATCTAGCTGGGCTGATACAGGAATCTGGCAGCCTGCCGGGGGCCAGTCGCGCCCCCGCTGCAAGCCATTCAAGAGGCAACGAGGGTATCCGCGACATGGACCCTCCAAGTCGATCATTACGTCCGTTTTGCCTGTGCTGGCGCTGGCAGGGCATGTACAGACTGTACAGGCAGGTTGTACTCAACGCTGCTGACCAATTCTCGATTCGCCATCTCGTTCTTGAGTGTGCAGCTGCTGTTTGTTCTGTTCTCGATGCGGCTCATGCGATTGAACCCAGCAGTGCAAAAAGAAAGCGCATCCAGCAGTGGAGCCCGACTGCTTCTGCAAAGCCTCCTATTGCCAGCTTCGGGGGAAAGCCGAGGTCTTGGCACATTTCAGGCAGCAAAGGCGAAGAATGCAATCGTCGGTTCGGCGCGATTGTTCGCTGGCACAGCGCAGCTCAGCGCCGGCAGCGTTCCCACGTCGTGCCTGCCAGGAGCGGCTGAATCAGAATCAGAATCTCTCCGGGCTTCTGCAGCATCCTCGGCATGAGTGAAGGCTGCAACTTTTTGTGCTCAACTTGCTCCCCTAGGCTTCCGGGCACTCCATTTGCAAGCTGCTTGGCTGCAAAACTGCCAGCCTTTCCCGCGAGAGAAGGTAGGAGAAGTGCGTGAGACAGAAAGCCAGAGGGAGAGAGGGAGAGAGCCAGAGAGAGAGAGAGAGAGTGTGTGTGTGTGTGTGCGTGTGCACGCATGCACTTTCTGCCTGTGCTACCGGTGCATGTCTGCTGTCTCTCAAGCGGATTCAAGCGGCTGAAGAAATCTACCTGTATGCAATACATTTGCTTTTGTGGTGGCCGCTGGATGCTCCTGCTCAGAATCGTCGTAGACTCGCCTGCCATGGGCCTGCCCTAGCGTGGCAGCATCGTGCAGGGCCCAGATTGTGAGTTTGGATCATCTGAGACTTGAAATTTCTGCCTAGATGGGTGATGCAGTCGTCCATGGAATGGGAAGCCTGTCTGTAGAAAACATGAGGATCAACTGCCTGACTGCGCAGCATTTGTCTCGCTCGGTGCCAGAGACTCCACCGCCGTAGCGAGCTTGCGTGTGCAATGCCTTCGAAAGCGAAGGTGGCGATCGCTTCGGGTGCCGCATCAGCAATGCTCCTTGCTCCTGGCTTCGTGACCACTCCAGGGGTGCCCAGGGCCCTGGAACAAAGGAGTGCCGCTGCCGCCCCTCAGATCGCTGGCGCTCAAAGCCAAAGTGCACCTTGGGGCAAGGCCGCACTGGCCACTGGGCTTTTGCTTGGCTCCGTGCAGATGTCGGGGCGAAGGCAGGCCCGAAAGGCCCAGGCCAGAGTTACTGCTTCAGCGGCGAAGGTCGACACGGTCGGGATCATTGGTTGTTCCGGTGCTGTGGGAAAGGAGATGCTGGAATGCTTGGAGGATCGAAAATTCCCCACGGACAAAGTAAGGCTTTTCGGCAACAGCTCCGCCGGAACAAAGGTTTCTTCCTCTTCCTTTGGCGAGATTGAGGTGGAGAAGTTTTCACTTGAAGCCGCACAAGAGTGTGACATTTGTCTCATGGCCGTGTCGGGCGACTTCTCTCTGGAATGGGGGCCCAAGAGATCTGTCAGCATTTATGAAGGCGATGTGTAGTTTCAAGTTGCTGGGTGCAGGGCTCAAACTGCTTGAAGATGTGCTTCTGATCTCAGCATATCATGCAATTGCGCATGCGCAGTGCCGGGTTGTCTTCAGGGCGCACCATGCATATCAAGGATTGCTGGTGGACCCAAGAACACGCAGGTCATTGACAACTCATCTGCATGGAGGTACGACAAGGACTGACTGAGAGAAGCTATTGGGATTGGATGGGTAACACCCTGCTCTTAGGAGCCTCGTCTCTGAAACATGCAGGACAAGCCACTGGTAATTCCGGAGATCAACGGAAAGGGCCAGGTGGATGCACCACTCATAGCCAACCCGAACTGCACAACCGCGGTGGGTGCCATGGCGCTGTGGCCCATCCATCAGAAGTACAAGTTGAAAAAGGCCACCGGTCAATGTGATCGAGAGCCACCATGATGTGACTGAAATTCACGTAGTATTATAGCGAAGAGCAACGTAGACAACGATGTCAGGTGCTGATGTCAACCTACCAGGCGGCTAGCGGTGCCGGAGCTCCTGGCATGGCCGAGCTGGAGGATGGTGTCACGGCGGCCATGGGGTTGGGTTTTATTCCAAAACGATTGAGCTGTGGCTAGAAAGTGCTAAGCGTGAAGGAGGGTCAAAACTGAGGCCTCTCGACCTGGGTGAAGGATGGAGCTGTACCGGAGCCCAAGTTCTTTGCCCACCAGTTGCCTTTCAACGCCCGTGACTTGGAACGTCACTGCGAAGCACCTGTCTCCTTGGAGCATGTTTGCTAGTAGTTTTTTCCAGGTCATTCCTCAGATCGACAAGTTCCAAGAGAACGGCTACACCAAGGAAGAGATGAAGGCAGCCGAGAGTGTGTGCATGATCGTGCATGTAGTTGCGAGTGCAAGCTGCCTAAAGCAAGAGGGCCTTATACAGGTCACTTGGGAGTTGCAGAAGATCTTCGGCTTGGACGACGATGTGAAAGTTTCCTGCACTGCCGTTCGAGTCCCGACCCTCAGGGCACACTCCGAGACCATCGTCGTGGAGACCGAGGAGCCCATCAAGCCTGATGATGTGCGCAAGCTGCTCGAGTCTTCTGAGGGTGTGAAGGTCGTAGATGACCCGGAGAGCTTGAAGTACCCCATGCCACTGAGCCTTTGCAGCTTCGAAGTACGGCTTTCAATTTCAAGAAACTAGAAATACAAGTAGGCTTCGTCGGGGCAGCAGCATCTACTCTACACCAAGGAACATACATCGCAATATCGCTTCAAACATATGTCAGTATCTAAACTGTCGAGTGGCGATGGTGCACAGGTGTCTGCTAGTACCAAGCTCAGTACCTGAGCGACTTGAATACAGGCTCAATTGTGTAATGTTTGGGATGACACGGAGTCAGTGGGAACGTTGTGTGTTTCTCTGTCTACGCCATGGCCAACTGTTCTTGGTTTTGGGTTGTGGGGTGACGTGAAATCTTGTCGACTGCTGGCTCGTTACTTGTAGAGTCTAGGGTTTCTCGTGGCCAAAGCACAGCCTGCGAAGTGGAATCTGCGGACTCTGCCATGCGGGAGTCAAACAACATGATACTGATTTCCCCAGTACTCGTAGCCATAATCCTTACCCTGTGCCTACTTGTGAAAACAGACGTAGCAATCCTCAGGGGCCAACACCACCATGGCGGTACAAGTCAAAACTATGTCGTTGTATAATGCGGCACCAGTACGACGACGATACCCCTGAAGGAACAGAATGAGTAGAAAAGAACCAAGGAACGCAACTGGCCACTACGATGTGGAAGTCGGCCGAATCCGGCAGAGCATCGTATTTGGGGACCATGGCATTGAGTTCTTCGTTTCTGGTGACCAACTCCTCCGAGGAGCAGCGCTGAATGCCGTCATCATTGCTGAGGACGCAGTCAAAGCGCGCTGAGGCTGAACTCTCTCTCTTTATCAACAGGGAATGGTCGGCCCATGATTGTGGCCGGTACTTTCTCACAAGTTTTGCATCCCTGCATTAGGGAGCAGTGCGGATACCAAGGCCTGCTAGCATAGGCCTACTAATCTCTTGCACGCTTGCCGTTTGCAGTCTACCGCAGGCTGCTGGCTAGCAAATTTTGAGTTTCGCCAGCTCAAGAAAAAGCAGCACATCCTGTCCGAACTGTGCCACGTTCCACCGAGCTCTTCGGAAAGGCATTTCGGACCTTATCGTTTGGCAGCCGAGGCCAATGATGCCGATGTGTGAGGCCGGAGCTTGGGGTTCCGTTGCTGACGGCTCGTGAACATCCCGGCAAGAAGCGGTCAAGGTAGTGGGTAGCGGCTCTAAATGTGGCCGCTCGAGCAAACAAAAGCTGAGGAGTCCCGAGAGGAAAAGGGGTATATCATGCACTGACCATCACCTTGGGCGTCTGGCTCTTGGATGGCTTTAGACTCCTTGGCATCGGGATTGACAACTAAGATGCGCTCTACGCCGACATCTCCGAATCCTCTGCGGCTGCTTCGAAATGGGTGGCGCCTGCCATGCGTTTGAGAAGTGGACCATACTTCGAAGGGTCGAAACGTGCATGTCACTGTGGAAAATGTGTTTGTGAGCAAGCGATTGCTACGTTTCTCTGGCTGCCAGGACCCGCTACAGCGACCGAAGCCCAATGCCGAGGTCCGCATCTTGCGAACTCTGACAAGGATGCCAGCCAGGGTCAAGCAAGGACATCAACATTGATTTTAAGGCTGATATCAGCCAAGCGTCACGTGAACAAGATGTGGGCACGGCCACGTGAGCCCGCAAGACATTCGAGAATTGGGGAGAGCCATCCGGGTCCTTGAGGCGAGACGAACATGTCAAGAAAATCATCAGGTACACGGCCAAAGGGCCCACCCCGGACGAAGACCAAAGCTGCGCGCATGAATTGAGGGGCTCAAAAGCTCTCTCGGACAGCTTGCTGTTTCGCAATGCGAGGTCTGAAGCTGAACCGCTCACAGGCGGCAGCCCTTCGGCTGGTTCTTGAAAGGCAGCATTTGGCTTGCGCCTGTCAGCTCTCTGCTTTGAAGGGCCGGTGTTCAGTTTATGTTGCCTTCATTGCGGGAGGCGCAGGCGATTCAGTCTTGTCCAGGGACCACCAGGCTTGAGTGTCTGATTGGCTCTGAGTGGACAGCATCGATTTGCAACAACATCTTCTGATGGCCGGTAGCAGGTACCGGCAAGACAACGACTGCAGTGTCCATCATCTGTGGGTGGCTGAGGACGCAGATCCACCAGCAGGAAGCACATCAGCTTGCATGCATATCGAACGTGAAGGACGCGAAGAGGCCCAGTCTTGGCAAGCGCCTTCAGCAATCGCGGGACGGACAACTTGGCGGAGGCATTGGGGGATCACTCCGATGTGCATCTGCACGACTCGCCTCTTGAGCTGCTGGAAAAGCGATTTGGCCTCGAGCGCAGGTGTTGCACAACCTGGGAGTGCGGGTTTTGAGGCCTGCTGAGCCGTTTGACTTCCGAGCAGCGCTTCAGACCCGGCACACTTTGTTTCTCCCTTCAGTGGCTGGTTTCGTGCCTGTCTGTCTGCCCCATCCCAATCCGCTTAAAGGTCTGAAGACTCGTCGACCCAGCATGCAGCGGGTCAGTTGATGTGTCCCTCCTCCTTATTTGTCGGAATCGACGCAAGGAATTCATCCTTGTAGAATCCTTAGAAGGAACTGATCAAGGACTTGGTTCAACTGTCTGCATCTTCCCAGTGTTTCCAGTTGAGAGCCTGTTTCGTCGAATTTGCCAGAGACATGTCTCCGTCCGACGTTTCACAGGGTGGGCCTGTGTCCCCAAGACCGACCATACTCGTCTTGAGCCTACTTTGCACGATGGGTGAAGTGGTGCAGCTTGCTGTTTTCCCTGTGCAAGGTTCGAGACGCGCCTGCGGGAGTGTGGCAAGCAGCTGCGAGCTTGTTGATGGTGTTGGGGTTCCCTGAGGGCCATCTCCATTCAAGCTTCACCCAGGCGCGGTGATGCAGGAATGCGCCATGCTCCCGACTCGGCCAGGGTGTATTTCGGAGACAAGCTGACTTGCAAGCCTGTTTGCTTCATGCTGAGGTCATGGAAACGATAGATGCCGTGACCTGAAGCACTAAACTCGTGCGCCTGAGTATTGTTCACCTGTATATGTGTGACTCTTTCTTCTGTCATCTGTCTGTGTACAGAACGCTGGCCCAAGTCAGTGTGTGCATGCGCTTGGCCCCGCAGTGTAAAGTTAGCCAAACGGGCTTTAGATCTAGTGATGCGGCATAATGAGGTTACACCGGCTGCAGATCCTGCAGATAAGACTGTTGCCTGTATGAGTTGAACAATGCACTTGTCATGATCGGATTGACTGCCAGGGCCTGACAGGCTACCTGTAATGGCTTGGGACCCCTTCGCCGACCCAGCCGACGACATTGGCTCCTTCTGCCCGAAGGACATGGACAACTTTCAAGCTTATGCATTGAAGCCTATAGCTTATGTAGCTTGTCTTAGAAATTGAAAGCAGCTGTTGATCGGCTGTGCTGCAACTCGTTCGGCTGAATTTCTCTGTATCATGGCTCTTTGCAAGTGGCTGGCGCAGGACACCAGCAAGCAGTTTGCTTCCGGTGTAGACTCCGAAGATCTGTGCAGTGGGCAGCTTCTCTGCCGGAGCATTTGCAGCTGCAGCGTACAAGTGCGGTCCTCTTCGCTGCCGCATGCCACCGCAAGGCTGGACTTGGTAGCGGATATTCAGAGCGATGATGACAAGCCAGAGCCAGAATTCCATTGGATAGAGTCTTGGCAAGGAGTCGAAGTGGGATTTCAGAATATTTCAGAGGAGGGAGGGCGAGAGAGAAGTGAGAAGGGATCAGGTTTCGAGTTCGGGATGACCAGGCAGTGCAGATGAAGAGGTCGGAGGCACCCCGAGTTTTATGCTAGAGTACGTTACCTTGTTGTTTGCTGAAAAAGGGGGGCACCCGCCTCGGGTCTTGAAAACCGGGGACACCTCTTTCGTACAGCAGAGCCCGTTCCTAACAATGACTCCTTAGGCCCGTGGAAAGAAAGCGTCAGAGTAACACCAGGCTCATTCTCTGGGGAAGGAGGGAAGAGAGAGCCTATCCCATCAGGGGGGGCAGACAGGGTAGCCCAACGTGGGTTGCATTTACTCGAAGGTGTTCTGCTACTTAGGATGTGGAAACCAAACACCCAAGACCCCGAGCATCAGGTTTAGGGTTGCATTGGTCGGTTGGTCTATTGACATTTAAGTATGGTCGGATCCTGGCGGCGTGCTCGACCCATGCCGATGGTTAACCTTCGCTCCCGAACGCTCGGGGGTGCAAAGTGTTGGCCAGAGGTTTTGCACATGCAACTTTCGGTCATTTCGCGTTTCCGAGACTCGCCGGACCGGCGCGTTGCAACTGGCCTCACAAGCAGTAGGCCGCAGGAAGGAAGGAAGGCTGGAAGGAGGGAACGCCTGTGCAGAGGAAGCACAGGTGGATTTTGCACATCCCCCAAGCCCTTGGAGAAGAGCGCATGTTTGCACTTGCATGACGAGGTAGGGGGCATTGTGGCAGTACTCACGGGCATAGGAGACCGAAATGTCGCGCGCCAAGCGCCCGACCAACAGTCGGCCTCCCCGCACAGGGGGTACGCCACACAAGGAAACGCGACAGCCCCTCATGCGCGAGAGAGAGATTAGCCGTTTTGGCTCATGTCAAAAGGAACCCCACCCCCCCCGCTTGAGCCACATGTTGCAACACTTCAGCAGCAACAGCATGACATGGCCCGAAGTTGCAGTCCCCAGTTCGAGAAACAATATATACACGTCGTGTCCAAACACATTCCGACTATTTCATTTGCATTTGGCACACTGTTTTGTCGACATGTGTTGAGTTTGTGCAGGAAGCGGGGGCATTGCGAGGTTTCGGAGTCCGTTTCGTCAGATCAGGCACTGGGTTCAGGACACAGGTCGCGAAGGTCGAGGCTTGACGGGAGAGTTTGAGAGTGCCGTGTGAGTGTGAATGTTGAACCAGTCCCTAGTTCTGTGCACTGCACAAAGCCCTCTGTGAGCTGTCGCAATCTCATCACTGTAGTCGGGGCACTCGAGTCTCTACAACGTGTGAGCCTCGGCCTGCTGAAACTCTTTGCACAGCTGAGTCGCTCAACGGCGGCGCAGCAGCACTCAGCAGCAATCAGCAGCTGATACGTGGGTTGTGGTGCAAGTGATGAACCCTCCCGTGTCTCTTCAGCCTTCTGCTTGCCCTTCCACCAGACGTGCATGCACCACAGCCCAAAAGCCAGCCGTATAAACTACGAGAGTGTGATGAGTAGCTCGCTGTTTATTATGCTGAGCAGTTTACATGTCTTGTTCGGTTGATGTCGAAAGCCCCCCCCCCTCCCATGTCTATCCTCTAGAGATGGACTGGATATATTTGACGCTGGAATGTCGGACAAATTTACACAACATTTCCAGGGGCTTGTCGTTGCGTTAGAGGTGCTGCCGTCGCATGGCACTTCCCTGGTGTTTGCCGTTTCGGGCTGGGGCGTCTCCGGTGACCCCGCATATCCCTAACCTCGGAAAGAGCGTGATGCTGAAATGGCGGGCAAGTTTACACTACATTTCCAGGAGCATGTCGTAGCGTTAGAAACTGCCGCTTTTGGCTCTTTTTGCTGACTCGGACCCTGCCCCCAGCTGTAGCTGGTTGATGGATTTGCCCTTTTGAGTCGAGCACGCTGTTCTACAGGCCAGCGGCTTCGAGTTTTGGAACCTACATCTCCGGGGGCAATCACCCAACACACGCTCAAGCCAGTGAGCTATTTATTACCGTGAAGGTGTTCTTTCTTGAATTGGTCGCATGTGTGTGGTGATCCATTTGCAGCCCGATTTGCCTTTGCAGCCCGTGTCTTCCTTGGCATCCACCAATAGTGGGGGTGCACGAACGCGAGGGGCGGGTCGCACTCCTTCCTCCAGCCGTCGCGAAAGAAAGCATCAGACACAACAAAGACCTGTCGACAGGGTGCAGGAGCATGCGCTGGGTGGAACTGCTGCTCTCCTACATCCCCGGAAGGAAGCAGGAAGGAAGAGTAAGTGTGCATGCTTGGCAGCACAGCGCGGTGAGAATGGGTTCGTTTTGTGTTTCGTTTGGCAGTGGAAGTGAACGGCCCTGACCACACAGAACAGGTGGGGGTCACGCAATTACGGTTTTGCTGTGCGTCCGACCATCCGAGACGCCGAAGCAAGGACAGCCGAATGCGGGCGTGCCTGGAGCGACGGGGGCATGACTTTGGCACCAGACCACGTAAAAGCTACCTGGGCTGTTGTGGGGGAAGTGCAAGGACAAGGAAAAAGGGTGCCAGGTTAGAATCCGATCACAGCACGATCAGACCAAGGAGTCGCAGCTTCAATCCGTGCCTTGGCTGCTCACATCCACTTACCTCATGTCACTTCGTGTGATCATGGGTGGTGTTAGCAGCAGTCCTGCGTGTGCTCAGGTTCTACCGGAGATTCCCATTGTGAAATGTTGGATGCCGCCAGCACTCTCACCGTCCGAGCTTTGTGCCGCGCACATTGTCCTAAACCTTCCCATTGTGGATGCTGTGCGGGCTGCATGCGAGCGAACTGGACCTTTCAGCCACGCAAAGACCGCCGAGGCACAAAGGGCAGTTAGATGTAGTGCGCATTTGCGTGCGCAGCAAAGAAACGCGGCTTGATTTTTGCCTGAAGTGCCCTTGACTTGCCCGACCATGGCCAACATCTCGGATTTGTCCCTCTGGGGAAGTCAAATCTGTTTGTTTGCCAATGTGCTGGTCACGATCAAAACGTTTTCCAGGGGAAGTAGACCGCTCGACGGTGTTCTGGACGCTCTCGCTGTGGATCTGTGAACCTAAGGTCGCGAAACTGGTCATAAACTTAAACATCTCGAATCATCTGGAAATCACTAATTGAACAAAGCAGAAAACGCTGTTCTCTCCCGACATGCAGAATTCAGGCCAGCAACAGCTGAGGCTTTCGCCATAAGGGGCGCGTGTACGTGCACTTCCGTGGGTTCTCAAAGGCTGCAAGTGCGAGCGTCCCAGTATGACAGCGAGCCAAGAGACACGTGCATCGTGGGAGTCCCCGAAAGTATCGAAAGGTCCTTCTTAGGATATCGACGTTTGTAGAGCAAAAGGAGTGCAGGAATCGTCCTTCGAGTGCACCTGCCTACACATGGGCAGCGGCATTGAGATAGAAACCTCTAGATCGGCAAATCCCAGCATTTATGGTAGGAGACATGCGATTGGAGATGCAACATCAAGCAAGTCGAAGTGTTTGTTGCACACCTATTCTTATGAGATCTTGTGAGACTCACCTGTCACCCGATCGTGGCGGCTGGACACTGCAGTGTGCGCATGCAATGCGAGAATCTTACACCAAGCGGTCAATTCTGCACAGCGGACGCTTGTAGCACAAACACAGCACGCAGAGCCCGGTTTGTACGTGTCTCCGGCCGTGCCACGCTGAACGCGCATTGCGCCTCAGGTTTCTGTTGTCGCTGTGTTCTTTTCAGATCTCTGCCAGCTCCCTCTGTCTTCATGTCATCTTGGCATTCCGTCTGCTTCGGCTGTTTCCTGCAGAGTCATCTTCATTTGCATGCCATCGCATCGGCACAAAGTTTGGGCTTGGCTGGTACTGTACTATCCATCAGATCGGCGTTCCAACTTGCCCAAACCAATTTCCTCGGGATCAGGTTGAGGGGCAGCATAGACAATCGGACCCTGTAGTTTGGCAAGGCCGCCGGCTCGCCCGAACTTCGCTTGCAGCAAAAAGCACGCGTTTGGCGGTGGAGCGATGGACGGGGCTATGTAGTCCATCCAGTCTACCCGGAAGGCAGGCGGCAGGTGTGCAACGAGGCATCCTTGGGGACTTTCTGTTCTGTGCCTACTGGTGTCTGTGTCTGCCTCGTCCGTTGGATTTGGTCAGGTTTGCTTCACCCGCGCTTTGCTGCACTTGGCCGGCCACGGTCTGTCGAACACGGACGTGGAAGTGCCAAAGCTGCTGCTTAGCCTTCAAAAGTTTGCGAGCCTTTGCTTCATGTCTACGGGCATGCTCGTCAATGTCCACGACAAGGTCATCGCAGCATTTCTCCGTCGTAGAGATGCAAGACTTCTGCCGGTTTCTCCGGGCTGGTTCCAGGGAAGGGACTTTGGTGCGGCGATCCCTGGCGAGCTTCTTGGACTTAGCAACCCACAAGGCAAGTAGGCGTCCAGAAAACATGTGCCTTGAGTGCCTCATGTTAGGTTTGGAGGTCTTTCACGGTGATGGCTTCTCTTTGCAAGCCGAGCTCTGCGACAGCTTTGATGACCTGAGTCTTGTCGATATGGTGTTGGTGCAGCGAACCGTCGGCGCTTCTTCGACCACAGCTGAGGAACCGAGACTGGATCTCCTCCTCAGCAATGGCTGCCCTTGAAGGCAAGGCTTTCAGCATGTTGCTGCAGAAGCCATATTCTTCATCCTGACAGCCCTGCTTCGTGACTCGTTCAGCCGTTCAGCCATGCAGGAGGCAAAAAGAGCCGAAGTTGAGGGAATTTCATCAAACGATGATAAACGTATGTATGTATGTATGTATGTATGTATGTATGTATGTAGGTAGGTAGGTATGTATGTATGTATGTATGTGTGCGCGGGTGGTATTTGTTTGTGTTCTGCTCGCAATTACTTTCACATGCTCTTCCCTTCAGCTGGCCCTCGTGCCCGTCTGAGTTCTGAGGGTTCTGGGAATCGTTTTCTGTCCCTACTGCTTCCATGTGATGCGAGATGTAAGTCATCCAAACGAGCTATCGGGCCATGAGAATGTCCAGTAATTATCAAAGTTCTCAGATCCGAATCATGATACCCTGACGGAGGCTCTCGCCCCTCTGTTCCCCCTCTGACACAGTGGATGGTAAGTTTTTTTGACATAGGGTGGGGGGGGGGGGCGGGGAGCGTGAGAACTGTTCCAGATTCAGGCACGGCGCCAGTAGTTTTTTTGATCTTTTGGGCTTGAAACAGGCTTGCATAGTCCAGTGCCAGTGCCATCCAGTCTTCGTCAACGGTACTGCCTTCGCGTTGTTTGCCAGACCTGCAGTTTAGAAAGCACGCAAGGACAATGTGCTCGCCAAACAACCTCTGTCAGGACCAGCCCCGTGCAAGCCTGGGCAGGGGCCGGCAAAGCTCGCATTGGATGAAGCGCTGCAGATGCAAGATATGCTGATTGCTGGATACTCTGCACCAGAGTTTCAGGCGAGGCCCTAAACGAAGACGCCGTCTCGGTAAGAGTGCATTCCAGAGCCTGAAGGCAGAGTTACATCGGCGCTGGGAGGCGGCCGGTGGCATGGAGCTTTTGCAGGTGAGCAAATGTGCTTCTCACTCCGAAAGACTCAGATTCTGCTATGTGACGTTTCCCAGGTCAAGGCTCGCCAGGAGGCCTGTGCTCAGGCCGGATTTGGGCAAACTGTCTCAGAGCAGCTGGAGACTTCCCCTAGCATGAACGAACAGATCGTGCTACCCCTCAAGGTGCAATACCCAATTCTTCAGCACTTCGGATTTCAGCCGTCGCGTCGTGGCGTTGCACAAAGTGTGGCCGCTTTCAAGGAGCACAACGCCCACCCGGAGGCTTCCGCCCAGAGCGTACAAGTACAAGCTCTGGTTGTTGTGTCGCTTGTCACTTGCCTTTCAGGTGGCCGCCCGAAATGCAAAGTTGCAGTTCCTGGTCAATCCACCGGCTCAAGATGAAGATTTCAAGCGACTCATGCAGAAACCTGGCTACACTGTTTGAGAGCTTGCACCTGGCGGTCAGATTTTCTCGTGTGATGTTTCGTGATAAAAGGATACAGCCTTGTGGTGGAGAACCATCCTATGCCGCCCTTCGTTTGCCATCGCTCTACCATGAAGACCGCGAGCTGGTGAGATTGGTTCGGCAAGGCTTGCTGGGGCAACTTCGAGCCGCCGTCGAACACAGGCTTTCGAATCCAAACACCATCGTTCCTGAAAAGTCGCTCGGCGTTTGAGACCATGTTACCAAAACCGATAGCTCCAGGTGGTAGTGTTGTTTTTGCCGTTGCTGTCCTCGTGCCCCCTTACAGTCAGATGCTTGCACGCCCGCACAAGGCTGGGCTTCCTTTGTGAGGCGCGGACCCGGTTTTACTTCATCGAGGAAAAGACAGCATTGATGGTCGCTGTTGAGGAGGGCAACCAAGAGGCATTTGACCTTCTCCTCGGCTTTCACCACCTCCTCGATGTCAACGTCATTTGTCGTGAGTGGTCTCTTTCAGCAGCGTACAAGACATACACTGCTCTAGATATAGGCCGCAACTGTGTTCGCGCGGGGCATCCAAAGTGTGCCAAGCCAATGGTGAGACAACTGCTCGCTCAAGGGGCTAAGTCTGCCGAAGCCTTAGAAGTTCCACCCGGACGCCAGAACCCCTTTCTGAAGTGGAGAGAATACTTTCCGGATGCGAAGCTTGACAACATCGGCGCGGAGTATGCCACGGGTGAAGGAGAGGATGTGAGACCGGATGCTGGACCACAGCGTTCTACAAACCAGCGTGAGGCATCGCCGGTTCGCTACTCCCGCATTCCCCCCAAGACTCTTCCTGGCTTCGCATGGAACTTTCCTGATCTTGCTGTTGAAGATGACATGGAGTTCTCAGCAGTTGTTGCATCGATTAAGAAGACTCTACGCGCTCAATCATGTGCAGAGGCAGAGGACAGACAACGACTCCTTCGCCAGCTGTTTTTGGAGTGGCACCCTGACAAGCGAAGAGGGGAGGTAGCATTAGCCACGAAAGTGTTCCAATGGCTCCAGCGCTTGAAGGAGCAGGCTACTTAACACACTGCAATGAAGCCGGAACACCCTTGAATGGTTGAGGTCGAAGTTGCAAGCCTCAGTTGGCCGAGCAGCCCGGACGTCACATATGGCGTCGCAAATAACTGCACGAGGAGCGCAAGAGCTTGTCACAAGGCTGATCCACCGCTGGTCGGAGCAGCTGTTCGGAAGCTGGAGGAGAAGAAGCTGGAGGGGAGAGACACGATTGCCATAGCAGGCCCACGTTGGGTACGCTACTGGCCACTGGCCCATCAAAGCTGGAGATGCGAATGACGCAGCTTCTACCTCCTCTGGTCGACCTCGGCATGGCGAAGCTGAGAAGACTTCTGCTCGTACCTCGAGCAGTTCTCCATAAGTTTGACTTTACTTTTCCTACTTGTAGCAACTGCGTCTTAGAGATGGCGCAAGCGGTCGAAAAGAGACCTCGGCAGGGAGATTCCCGGCCAAAGACGGCACTCCCGAAAGCTATGCAGTGCCAGTCACCGCTCGGACCGAGGTCGTGTGTGCAACCTGCATCGGATGCGGAATGGGTCCTTTGGACAAGATAAAGTTTCCCTTTGCCTTCGGCTCAGATCTGTGGCAGACACGGCCATCTGCTCTCGTAGCATGCATCGTCTCGTGCCAGATAGTCATCGACGAAGCCGCGCAAGTCATCGAGCCCGCAACACAGCTGCCTCTGCGAGCTTGCGGCATTCATGATGCAGCAGACGCCGCCCTCTCTCCTTACCGAGACTGCCCTCTGTGCAAGCATGTGTTCGCTAAAGGGTTGGAAGGCAGGTGTCTCCGACAACACCACTGTTTTGGCCGCTTGTTCAGGTGGTCTGCTCTCTTTCAGGCGTTTCGGCTCGTAGCGCAAGGGCGACGCAGGGCGACACCTCGGACAAACATTGGAATAGGAAGAACAGAGAAACTAAGCTTGTTCGGCTTGTTCGTTTCCGATTAGCTACCCAGCTACACTGTTCGGTGCCTGGCATCTGTTGGAATTGGGTGGGTTGAAGTTGGACATAGCAAGATGGCAATGTAGCCCCCGAGACTGCGAGAGATGGCATTGAGCCTGGGGAATCGACTTCCTTCGCTTCAGCCGTATCTTGGCAGCAATTTGTTGCGAAGGGTTTGCGAGTGCTTGCATTGTTTCCACTTGTGACCTGCGCCAGCCACCTTCTAATCAACAGCAGGCCCTGCCAGCTACAGGTACAATGCACCAGATGCAGGGTACTTGGGCTTGGAGTGTCGCGGTGGCATCTAATGAGCCTTTCCTGGTGCATCCATCGTAGAGGAGCGAAAGCATCTTCACCAGGTTGGGCCAAGAAGTTACGATCGAGTACATAGGACTGCGAACCCGTCATGTATCACCGAGTATGGAAGAGCATGTTCCTTGGTCAGGATGCAAAGAAGAGTCCGAATGGTTATATGGAAGTTCATCTGGAGAAAGTGGGTGGTTTCCGAAATATTGCTGCCCGCCTGCAAGCAGCACCTTGTGCTGTCCGAAGGAAGATGGAACATGGAGCGTGTTTTTTCTGCGACATACGCTTGAGCAGCTCTTCGAGGTGTGTTGAATGCGCCGCGATCGCCACCGCCCCCTCTGCCTCCGCCACCACCTCCAGTGCCTTCAGTGCCTGAAGAGGCTCTCCAAGCAGCCCGGCCCCCAAAACGCTGACGTGATCTTGCTGGTTTTAACTTGAGAGCTCTTGCAAGTACCGTGTGCTTGCAGGTCATGATGGCGCTGGCTGCCCTGGATGATGCGGATTTCGAGATCGTCATCCACAAGGAGCAGCTTGTCAAGATGCCGACGAGGACAAAATCTCAGCAGCCAGACACAGAAGCCATGTGCCCAGTGTCAGCCTAGGCTAAGTCGGAGGCCTCATCTTCAAGTGAAGGCAGGTGCATGACTTGCGAAGCTGAGACATAGTGGAACTGGTGAGATGGGTTGCCAAGTTTGGTGACATTCAGTGCGATCTTAGCAACTCAAGGTTGCGACTACACAATGCTGGAATTCAGATGCTTGCGTGTAGTGTCTGCCATCGCGTCGTTGCGCTGCAGGTTAGTGCTGATCGAAATCTAGAGGTGCAGAAACAAATGCAGCACAGCCCTAACGCTGAGCAGCAGCTCCTGCTCCAGCTCGCAGTTAGTTGCTCTGTGTCTTCGACTTTCAAAATGCCAAAGTGGCAGATGAGTGCAAGTTGTGAGTCGAAACTAGGACGTTGAGAAGCGAAGCTTCCGACCCGTCCGACCGGACCTCGCGAAGGAACGTAACCCAACGCGTCAGTGAGCGAGTGAGTTTTTGATAGAGTCGGACGCCTGCTCAGATGGTATTGGTCAACGATGGAGATTCTGTCGGATCTTGTTGCTTGGCTGCAGCCGCATAGATGCACCTCAGCGAGGCCTGTGGGCCTGTGGGACGCCAAGGTTTGTCAAGTCCCGAAATCAGCCCGGACACGATCAAGGTGGCATATGGGACTTAAACGGCTCCCGAGCTTGATGTCTTCACTTGTGGTTAAGTTATTTGCCGCACAGTTCATGCTGGTCTTGCGCTTCGTTACAAAATCTGAGCCAAGTCCTTGCTCTACCAGGCAATCAGGAAGAATGGTCTAACTGCACTGCCACCTCCTGCAGACTTGCAGGACTGTCGCGTCAGCAAGTCAGAGTGCGCTTTGATTCTGGGTGCCGGCATGTAGGCAATGTAGGCAATCTGCATGCTGCCCGTCCCAGACCTCAGGAGCCGAAGAAGCTGCAGAGAAGAGAGTCAGAGACCTGGGAGAAGGAGAAGCGGGAAAGGCCCTTTGACCCTGTGGCTCTTGGGCAGCAAACAACCACTTCGCAGCTCTTCGCTTCGCCAGCTCGCACGCTCGGCTGGCCTTTGGTGATCGCGATTTTCTTCTCAAGGAAGCACCTGGCAACGCCAATCCAGCTGTCAAGCGCACCTTCTGCAAGTTCTGGCAGGCTCATTGACTTGCGCCGGTAGGACTGACGCATTCAGAAGGGTGGTCATAGCGCCTTGTGCAACAGTGACAGTGCATCCCTGAGTGTTGGGGCATGATGCACGCCACGGAGGTGAGATGTTGGCTTTTGAAGCTGTGCTGGTACTTCCCCGTCAGGAAAACAAATGCACCAAGGGAGATGCCTGCACCTTCGCTCATGGCGATCATGAGAGTCTCGATTGATAGCTCGGCAGTACGTCAGTGAATTTATGTCTGTTCGGCTCTTGCTATGTGTTCAAGTCGTCGATGCAGCGAAGGATAGGCCAGCCGATCCACAACGACAGCTGGGCACCTACAGCGAAAGGGCAGGGCAACGATCAGAATGTTTCCAGGACCGCTTCTTTGCATGAACCTCGCAATATTCAACCTTGCTTTCCCCTCAGTAACTTCCTTGGCTCTTCCTGCGAGGAAGAAAATCATTTGCAAGTTTTGGCAAGATGGCAAGTGCTCAAAGGCTCGGTTTCATGAACGATGGCTTCGAAAGGGCCAAAGGGCCCGTGCTGTGAGCATCCATTTTGTCACAGGGCCCTGGATGCACCTTCGCTCATGGAGAGCAAGACTCGCAACCGCATTGGGGCGCCGAGTTGTGATATTACGGTGCACGACCGCTGCAGTCCGGAAAGCTGTCTGTTGGGGACTTGGTCTCTCGGAGTGATTCGGAGTGACGACCACAGGAACTGGGCCAGCCCATCAACACGGAGATGGCCCGATTGTTCGCTTCGCGCCGATCTGACCTCAGCCACTCGGTCACAATTGTGATCATTTCAGCGAGTATTTAGTGCAGTCCCGTTTGCGGATGTATGCCATGCCATTTTCCGAGGCAGCTGTTTGCGGTTGACTCCTTGCAAGTTCTGGCAGGAAGGCAAATGTACCAAAGGTGCCTTGGCCTACCTCTGCCAGCGACTTCATCATCTCCAGCTGTTTCTGAAGCTGGACTTAGGTGATGCCTGCACTTTCGCTCACGGGCAGGATGTTCTTCCAACGGCATGGGAAGATTCGTGAACTGGTCCCAGCTTTGGTTCACCTTCCTGCGGCATGGCGAGAAGGCTGTAGGCAGCTGCCACAAGGCCATGTCGGCGCACCTTCATTAAAGATTGCAGGGTTTAGCAATCGAATTCGAGCCTTCATTGCCTGAGCCGCACTGGCCTGTGAAAAGATGTGTTTCAGGTTCCTCCGAAATCTTTAGTTCGCACCCTGAAGCGGCTGCAGGAAAGAAGTGGCACCATCCTACATCATCATATATCACTGCCTCGCGTAGTTTCCTGCACCTGCTTTGCATGTGTGCGTCGTGACGCAAGGCTTGTACATAGATCTAAACAGAAGAAACTTTTTCACCCTCAGTATGTACCGGCTTCACCCTGCGTGCGAACGCGGTGAGGGGCCAACCTTCAAAGGGTGGCCATGCAGGGCAGAACATGAGCCTTTTCGTACAAGCGCATATGTGTACGCATGTGTCCACGTTTGCAATCACATACGCACTCACATACTCAACAAGAAGGCACGAGTGTGGAAGTCTTGATATGGATATGTGAACTGCGCCGCCTCCAGACGCCGGCTGATCTTCGCCAATCTGACGACTGTAGCTAGGTTTGCCGGAACCTTCCTGAACTTCCGAAGTACTCGACCTCCGGAAGCTATATCACAGACTGCAGTGTCCTGCAGAAAACCATGCAAAAAAGATATGCGTCCGGATGTTGATCAACAGTCCGTCTTCCTTAGTCCTTGGACTCTGCGGCCTGTGACAGGTGGAGTTCCGGCAAGTGTCGTCTAGTGGCAGTAGCTTCAGTATAGGTGCAGCCGAACGAGCTGCATTGAAGCGTTGGAGCTCGAAAAGAGCTTTCACACTGGCCAACAACCTGCCTGCTTACCCAGCCAGCCAGCCACCAACTTGCCACCCACAGACATCCACCCACATCCAACCATGGTGACCGGCCTGACTGCCTGCTTCCCCACCTGCTTACAGGCCTAAAGCATGCGGCTGGCTGCAAATAACTCCACTGTGAGGCCCGCAGTGATCCTGCCCCTGGGCAAAGGTGCAGTGCAGGCAGTCTTAGCACCGGCCTCGTTGCTGCCTTGCGCAGCGAAAGCTGGTGCTACGCAGTGCCCGTGTCAGGTCGGTGATCAATGTCAGCTCCCTGCTACAGTCTTGTCCCAGGCCCCGAGACACACAACGGGCCGACATGGGCCAAAAGAAGTGGAAATCGCAACTTGTCAGGAGGCTCAGAAGGGTGGCCGGGGGCTCAGCTCGACCTGCCTTTGCAGTTGCATACGCGCGTGGGTGTGGCTGGGTGTCGTAGAGGTTTGGATATTTCCATGTTTGACCGCCTGCTGTCCATGGGCATGGAGGCACATCATTGATGGCAGATCACTCTTTGCTAAGATGCACGTTAGGTCATAGTCCGGCCAGGTGCAGTTTCTGAGCGAACAGTACCGGATGCATCCGCAGATTGCGTGACGGCCTTCCTTCCCTCGCAGGGACAAGCCTTGCATTGCTTTTTTCTCCTTGATTGAGTCCAGGTCTTTTCCATCATGGCGCTTCTATCGCGGCGATCTGAAGAGCGTGGAGGGCTCAATTTCGTTGTACGCTGCTGCTCGCCTAAGCTTGTGTAGGCCCGTCCAAGGCTGTACAGGAGTCAGCTCGACAGCTTCCGTGCTCAGCTGAGATGTGTTGGGCATGGCTTGAACCCGACATAGCAGCCGCACTGCTAGCGCAATTTGAGTAAGCATTGGGTTGTGGATGACATTGCGCACGGCGGTGAGGCGAGGATGCACGCTGAAAACCCATGTGGCACTGCTGCACGTTGAGGCGCTGCAGTGATCATCGCAGAACCCATGTGCCCTGTGCTTCAATTTTGTGGCATTGAATCGTGGGTTTGTGCCTCTGTGCTTTGGAGTCGTCGCCAGAACTCGGCTTGCTGGCTGGGGGAAGCCGAAAAGAATAGCATCCAGCAAGTCTTGGCTCAAAGTATGTTGCCCCGTTAGTCAGCAGACGTCTGCTGGACTTCAGCATGAGCCGCCCGGAACATCAGGCCGAAACCTTGTTCGGCACATCTTTGTTGGCTGCACAGTTGATTCGACGTCGGACACGCCAACGAGGCTCCTCCCGAAATCTTTTACAACGATGAGGAGTGCACGGCTTGGGAATCTGAGCACGACAAGGTCGCTTTTCCTGGCAGCTTCTCCCCGTAGACTTTGCTCCAAGGTCTGCCAGGTATGCGACCAGCAGCCGGATGATTGACATCCAGACAAGGACTTGGCAGAGCGAGAAAGAAGGCATGACGCCAAGTCAGCACTGCTGTAGGTTGATGGCATATACAAGCAAGCCCCCGAGCGCTTTTGGGATTAGACTACCAACTTCCTGCGGAAGGATGACCGAACGTGCTTTGCAGCTGCTGCTGCTACCAGACAGACCCTGTCTACTTCTGGATATCGGATGCGGCTCGGGAATCAGATGCTCGCCTCAAGAATTTGCAAAGCTTCATTTCCACTGCTTTATGCCGCTCATACCCTCGCATCGCAGGTGGCGAGACCATCAGAGACTCGACCGGTTTTCACTTGCGCGGCTGTTGCCAATCCAGCCATTTTGAAGGTACGTTCAAAACACAGTATCATATGTCCAGGTGCCATGGATCATGTGGATCCTGTCTGTCTTGCAGCATCCGGTTTACTCTCTAGATGCTTCTTTCGTTCGAAAGTGATGGCGAACCTGTGCCTTATCTCGCCTCGCATTGGCCGTTGGGGCTTGCCGAGGTGAGGCTGGGCACATTTGGATCGGCTACGACATCTCACCTTCAATGCTAAGGATAGCGCATCAGCGAGAGGCCAGCTGGCTGGTCATGGAGTGAGAGTGTCCATGGGGGTCTCACTGGCACATGGTTGTGGTGTATGAGCTTTCAAGCTGACACTGCCTAGTCCTCGCGTCTGCAAAAGGTTGATGGGGATCTATGCTTAGCCGATGCAGGACCTGCAATGGAAAGACTTGCAGCATGTGGCGAAGTTCTCATTATTGTCAGCCAGTCGTTGAAGCATTGCCCTGCAGGACAAGGCATGAGGTTCCGGCCAGGAACCTTTGATGGTGCCGTGTCCATCTCTGCGTTGCAGTGGCTTTGCAATGTAGACGCTCGTCGTCGAAGATGCTGGTTTTGCTTCAGCAGCCTATGTGGGAGCTTGGCTTGCGGTTGTGGCCTCCAAGGACAAGAAGGGGCACGAGCCCTTCAAGCGCCTCCGGCGCTTCTTCGAGCTGCTCTACAGTTTCCTCGGTTGCACATGCGCGTAGTACCCCGCCGGATGTCCAATCTTAACCCTGCAGCCTTTGCTAAGGCTGCCTTCGCAAAGGCGCGCGGGCTGCCCTGCAGTTCTACCCCGAGGCCGCTGCGCAGGTGGGGGGCTGTCATGGTCGTGCCCCTCTTGCCCCTTTGGATGCGCTCTTGAAGCCGGTGGCCTTGAGGTGGAAATGATCACCGCGGCAGCGTTGCCAATTGCTTGCATTGACGCTGCATGCGTGGTTTCGACAGAAGGGCTCTCATAGACCGGGCTTGGAGGACTTTGGCAGGGGGGGTGTCATTCTGGACGTGATGTTCCTGAAGTGGAAACGGCTGCATTTCAACGGATGTCTTAGCTTTGCCGAGGCGCTGCGGCTTTGGAGGAGGCCTAGTCGTGGAGACTTGGGCGACAGTTGCCAGCTCCAGCCTACAGAGCACGGGCGGTTGTGTAGACGTGTGCATGGATGTGTCGAACAAGCCGGCCGCGTGAGAAATGCCTCTGACAAGCGAGGGCAAGGTCTGTGAGGCCATAGTTATGCGGAATAGTCCCAAGGATTATCCCCACTCTTCGAAAGCCAAGAAGCACTTCCTGGTCATCTATGCCGCTTAGTTGCAGTGGCTACAGTCTTAAAGAGGAGTCTCTTTCTAAGCCTGATTGGGCAGGCTGGGTTCTCTGGCGAGCAGCCAGCCAACATGCCACAGCCCATGGAGGACGAAGATGAGCAGGTCCTGGGTGCTTGTTGCGCTGTTCAGCCTAGGGGCCTAAGATATGACGTCAACGCCCATCAGCCGGGAATGTAAGTCGACGCTCGCAAGTGCCGCAGGTGGCAGTGAGCAAGCGTCAAAGGGAGTCCAAGAAGAGGGGCAAAAACCAGGACACCTACAAAGACAAGGTTCGGTTTCAGGAAGCTGGTTGAGCTGAGCTTTCGTCTGCATGACCAGATTGCAGTTCGGTCGTTTTCGCGACAGGTCCTCAAGAAAAAAGAGCACCAACGAAAGAAGGGTTTTGGTGTGCTTGGTCTGCATGACTCGGTATGTGCACAGGAAGCACTGCACCTTCGCCTGACTTCGAGGTGCGCAAGGATACAAAATACACGGCCCGGCCGAGAAAGTCTGGAGCTTTCTGAGCCGAGCAATGGCTCGTCGTTTCACTCCAATACAGCAGCCTTCGGGTCTTTGCCCGTTGCTGCTGCTTGTACATATGCGACAACGCAGAACAAGGCCAAGCGTTGCCTCCCGACACGCGCAGCTCCGGCATAAGCCGCCTCAGGGCCTGAGGGCCATCTTTCGACCAAAGCTACAGAGAAAAGCTGGGAGTCGAGGCGCCACAGGATGTGACGCATAACTCTCTCACCTGCGACGCCCTTGTCACTCGCTGTAAGCATCGGCAATCCTTTCCTTCGTCACCCGTCCCCACTGCAGCTGTTCAAGTCCGGATCCGCGAACCCTAAAGGGGTTGCCGCGTGTTCAGATCATGCACAGAACTGAAGTTCGACCCATTTTACTCAAGAGGATGAACGCGCATGTTCAACTCGGTTGCTTTTGACGTAGCGATCGGCACCAGCTCCCATCCTCAGATATCCTCAGCATGCTAGGTTTTGTTGCCTAGACTCGATGTGACAAGTGGACCGCCGTACCTGCTGCAGATGCATAGCTGCCAGAAATCTGCCATCTGATGCTTGATCAATGCGCCTGGACAGCAGGAACTAGGCAGATCTAGGCAGGAATGCACAGCAAAGCCTCAGGTTCCTGGTCCACGTTTTGTGTAGAGTGTAGATCACGGTCAGTTATTAGGTCTCCCCTTTCCAGTCATGCGGTGCAACTTGACGGCTTTACACTCATGCATTGCCTCGTAAAACCGGCCTGTGCTGTCTCTGCGAAGTAGACTCTATGTCGCGAGTCGTGTTGCCGTTTGTGCAGTTGGGATCTTTAATAATTCAGTGCCTGTAGCTGAAGATGTGGCAAGATGAAGAGGTTGCTACATCCACGCCGACCAAGAGTTTGAGAATGCAACTGGCTGCACCAAGCCGGGTGAGATATTCCAGCGCATAAGATATGCATTGCTTTCAATCGCCCTACCGGCTGCAACGACTTTCTCGAGGATCTTCTACTGCCACAGTGCCGCGCATCCCTGCAAGTCTGCGCTGCTTATTCCAACGCAGGAACGGGGCTGCTGCCTTGCACGTTTCTCCACTAGCTTCTTGACCTGTGACAAAAAAGAGCTGACAGATGCTTTTTGCCAGGAGGGGACAAATTCGAGGCACAGGCGTGACAGCCACTTCGACAGAGAGCCAATTGAGTTGGACAAGCTCAAGACTTCAAAAATCCAATCGCCGCACAGGTGCGCCCGCAGCATACCTTCGCAAACGGCTCCACCTACACCGGTGATTGGCTAGGCGCGGTGCTTAGCTGTGGCTTGGTGGGAGGCGACTCGTGATTGATGACCCGGTAGCTTCGAGGTCTTGTGCGGCATGGAAGTGGCGTGCAGGCAAGGGCTCCAATAGCCCGAGTTACGCTGCACTCCCGTGAAGCCATGCGTTGCAGGTATGGCCAGATGGAGCGCGCTATGAGGGACAGTGGCAGCACGACATGGCCAACGGAATTGGACGGTTTGAGCATTGTGACGGTGATGCGGCTCGCTTCCACAACAGTCAATTCGATGTTTTGATATGCATGCATGCGAATGACTGATAGCAGAGATGAGCTACAATGTCTACACCAGAGCCTCGACAGCTTGTAGGAAGAATTTCAGCGATGCTTTGCTGGGTGGAGCTTTTGTGGAAATCTTAGGTGTACGAGGGCGAGTGGAAGAATGACAAGGCGAACGGACGCGGCATATACATGCTGCTTGCATGCAGTCAGCTGTCGCTATCTCACATGAAGAGCCGAAATACCACTCTCGGATGTGAAGCTCGCATCAGTTGTCGTCTTTCACATCACGAGACGCTGTCGTCTCAAGTGCAAGTGTCGGTACAAGCTAGACTACCCTGAAAGGGCATCTTTCTCATGAGCTCTTTGAAACATGAGCTGCTGACAAACCGCGCCATGCTTCCTCAGACTGAAGAGCTTAACACCTTGCCGTTTCATCCGTTGCGTGGGGGTGTGGTTGCTTCGCGAGAGATCCGCCCTGTACCAGACTTGAGTGACTGAACGCTTTCAGCAGGTACGAGGTCGTCGTGTCCTTATCGTTGTCGTTGTCTCGTTGCTGTGGTGCTGCCTTTTTGCCGTTGCCGTTGCTCTTGTTGTTCCTGTTTTTTTGGGGTGTCCTTCGTGATGCCTCAACATGCGGCAGGACAAAGCTTGAGCCAACGTAAATGACGTTTTCAATCCCGCATCAGTTTTGGGGTTGAGTGTGGAGTTGCGGCTCGGAGATGGAGGTCAGTTTTGCTTTTCGGTTCAGGGCGTCAGCCGGTCAACCTTGATGTCTCGCACATTTGCTTGGTTGGTTTAACCTCCAAGTCCCGGCACGAAGAGTTCAGGCATGCGAGTGGCTCGACCTACATTGGGGAGTGGCAGGAGCCGTCTTGCAGAGGCCGGCAACAGAGCTCACACTGGCTCGTGTTGGCAGGACGACCGGCAGCATGGCTACGGGATCGAGACCTGGCCGGACGGCACCAGATTCACGGGATCTTCGGCTTAACTTCCGATCCAGTCGCGATTTGGCTCCTGACATCACGGGAAGCTGAGGCACGTACGAGAACGGCTTGAAGTCCGGCCAGGTGCATTCCTTAACGACTTAACGGCGGCCGGCAAAGCGTCATGTCAGCACTTCCGCACTTGTGAAGATTAGGGCGGCTGACCACTCTGAGACGGCTTATCTGTTTGCGCTGTCTTTGTGTGCAGTCAAACCGGAAGGAATTCCGAAGCCAATCCCAAGCATTGCATCTTCGGGGCTGTGGATGAGCACAGCTCTTTTTGAGGAGTGAAGCAATGCGAAGGGAATTCTCTGAAAAAGGGGAAGAACACCAGAGCCGAGCAAAAGTACTTTATGGATAACGTACGGACGGATCAGACCAGAGCCAGTCGGAAGAAGCTCCTTTCCCCCTCTTGTTTGCGCGACCTCCAGCCGGGCTCCTGATCCTGGCCCCTGAGTCTGTAAACGAAGCCGCACTATCCTCGCTCACTCCGACCAGGGCTGCTTCACCTGGGCTGACAAATCCTCCTACAGTGGCGACTTCAAGGACAATGAGATCAGTGGACATGGCAAGCACCAGGAATGCAAATATGCAAATGTCAAGGATTGAACCTTGTCTAGGCCAGTCTAGCCCAAGCGAAGTGGGGAGCACCTGCCATTCTTGTGAGTTGTTGCGTGATTTGTGACTGTACCCTGTTGCTATCTGTGGCTGCTGCTTTGTTTTTCCTTCAGCGCCAGGCTTTTGTTGGCGCACTCGCGTACTAATGTACCTGTGTAATGACGTGCTAACCTACGACGTACTTAGGTGCCTTAGGTACTTGCGTACGTACATGCATGAAATTTTTCTCATACTGTAATGTATTCATGTCCCTGCGTGCTGTAACATACTAAAGTACTGAGGTACTACCGTACGTACGTACCCAAGGTATGTACGTACGTACGTTACCCCCCTGGGGTTCTTACTGTCCTTCAGGTATGTCTGGGGAGGCTTGGCAGCAAGACTTTGACTCCGACAACCAAGTTGATGCCGCGTTGTAGCTTCCGCATTCTGCAGCAGCTAAGGGGATGGGCGTGAGTCCTTCACTCAGCATGAGCCCGGCGACGGTAAGTCGAAAATCGTGTCCGAACAATCGGTTGCCAGCTGCAGAATGAACAATTCGCCATGAAGGTTCGTAGGATCCTGGAAAGCAAGCTACATGGATGGAGCTGGCAGGCTCACTGTTAAGCATTCTGGACAATTCGCATGCCCTGCCTTGCTGAGCAGGTTCACCTGGCCGGACGGCAAGACCTTCGAAGGTTTTTACGCAAAGGACGTGAAGGCCAAGTGTGTCTACTCGTACTTATCCTGGTTTCATTCATGAGCAGATCGTACTGACGGGGCACTTGCGCTTGAAAGTTGTGGCCTTTTGCATCGGTGAAGGAAGGTGTTGGCCGATTCACCTGGCCAGATGGACGTTCCTTCTTTGGACAATGGACGGACGGCAAGCAACATGGCGGGTTTCTCAGTCGAGGCAGCAAGTCAACGTGGGTCTTGGTTCGATAAGGGCTTGTGGGCAGCTAGTATGTGCTGAAACCGAGGCCGTGGAATTTTGAATTCGCCATCGGGAGAGGTTGAGGCCTCGCCTCGCCCCTGCATTTGCATTGGGACGCTGCGGGGTTTGTATCTTTGATGCATGAAGGTCGGCCTCTGGGAGAAGGGGCACAGGAAACTCGTGACCTGAGGACAACTGCCCACTGGCAGATCCCTGCAGTCGCAAAGCAGACTCGTGAGCTGTCATAGAAGGGCATTTGATCAAGTCGCGTGCGACAGGCACCCTGAAAACTTCACATAATTTCACGATCCTTGAGTCATTGTATAAGGATTCGTCAGAGCAGATGGCCCAAAGGAGAGCCATCACAACAGCAACGACGTGGGCAGAATTGCCGGATCGTTGCTCATCCTAGCACAATGGCGTACCAAGAAGTCCTTGGAAAAGGAAGGGGCAGTTGGCGGCTGGTATTTGCTCAAAACTGTGAGTGCTCTGCTGCAGGCCCGCGAGCAATCCAGAGGTGCATCCAAACGAAACGTTGATGAAGCAGCTTGCCATTCGCCTGAGCTTGCAAGCGTGCTCGTCCACACATGTCGCGTTGTGGGGAGCACTCTTCAGCCTGAGGTGCGGCATGGCTCGTCGAGAAGAGACCTTAGAATCCATGCTCTGCTCGGTTATGCGATGTCCACAAGGGCCACCACAAAACGTGCAGCGGGCAGGTCATTGCAATGTGGCGCAGACAAGGTTTTTGTCTTGTCGGTTCTTGCATGTGCCCAAGGCAATTCATGACGCTCTACGGGAGCTGTGACCTTGGTGTATCTTGATCTCTGCATCTCCACCGTCTTGTTCGCTGCTCCTCCTTTCAATCATGCTGCGATACAGTCTGGTACCATAGAAGACCATCAATAGCTACTCCCTTGGTGGATATGGCCGAGGACTCAGGGGCGAGGAGATCGGTGTGATTTCGCCATATGCCGCGCAGGCTGGACATTGCGCCGAAATGTGCTGATTCTACATTAACATGAGGGTCGTGCACGTTCGACAGTTCGATGTTCCGCATGTCATCAAGCAAAACCAACTGTCCAATTTCTCGTTTGCGCATGTTTTGTAATTATTTCACGATGAGCTGGGCACGCTCCCTGGACACAGAGCTTCAAGGTCAAAAACTGCTTGTTCGTTTGTCTGTCTGTTGTGTGTTTGTACTTGCAAGCATGTGTTTACTATCGTGTTGGCAGGTCTCTGAGATACGAAATGCCAGTGGCTTGGGTTGCGCAACTTCGTATCGTCTTGCTCGGCTTCTGACGTGGCCACCTCTCCGAGGCCCTTCCGAGAGAAGCCAGGGATGCAGTCGCAGTCCCGGACTGTTTTGAAATTCTGCGTGCCAGTTTAGTTTAGATCCCAACCTGATCTCGGCCCTTTGCATGACTCCAAGTGCATGAGCGTTTTGGCGACTATGCGCCCTCTTGCAGCCATGTGCAGCCAACACATGCAACATGACCTGCACACTGCTCACTCAATCCAAAATAATCCAAAGACGCCGCCGTTCATTGCTGCAACAAAGCGGTCCATCTGCCTCGCTTGCCGCAGTCTGCACAACAAGCGCCGCAGCGATTGTTTCTGCATCCATGTCGAGCTTGCATGGCGTGGTGACAGCGATGCTGATTCTTGAGACTGCTTCTCAAGAGGCATGCAGGACGGACAGACCGATCTTAAGCAAGAAGGTTCTTGAAGCCGGTCTGACTCTCGCAGTCGCATGCAGGATCGGAAGCTGCAGAGAGTCGGTGTCAGTTGGCATTGTGGGCGCAGGGCTCGTTGGACAAGAAGTCTTGAGGCAGCTCCGTGTTCTGGACACTGAACGTGCAGGCCTGGGGCCCCTGCTTACCACGAGCCCTTGCAATCGAAACCTGGGAGGAGAGATGTGCAGGCAGCCGGAGCATACTAGAAATTGAAACCATCCCAGTCACTCTCCCATGAGCAGGCGGTTGGAGCGCAGTGGCCGTTCTGCGCTCTCAGCGCATGTGGCTTCAAAACATACAGGAGGCATCCGCCAACCACCCGCCACCACCCACCTTCAACTTTTTGCGTCCTCTGTCTGTGGTGCAATCCATACCCCAGCTGCAGTCGAAGGCAAGCGACGATTTCATGAGCATGCCTGGCGAGCCGACCAATTTCACAAAGTTTAGTGACTTCATGAGCGCTCTTCCAGGACAGGTCTTGCTTGTAAGACTATCAGAGTTTCAGATTTGCCTCACCGCGAGAGGTCTGCGGGTGATCATGGACTGCACCCCTTCAGAAGAGCCAGCTGACCTCTATGAAAAATGGCTTGCCGCAGGATGGGTTTTTTCAGTTCATTACAGACCTCGAGTCCTTGGAGGGGCCGTTTGTCAGGCATCAACGTGGTCACTGCCAATAAGAAAGCCGGCAGTGGCAGCCTGAAGAGATACAAAGCGATCACGGAGGCTGCACGGCTGGGGCAGAGCCAGTTTCTCTACGAGGCCAGATGAGTTCGCCTTGTGCAACGTCGTGTTTTGGAAAGTCGTTCTGCGCATGTTCGCAGGCCACGGTTGGAGCAGGGTTGCCAGTGCTGACGACCTTGCAAGACATGGTTCGAAGCGGAGACGATGTTCATGCCCTCGTAACGGCAGTTGGAATAGCCCAGCCAGTGTACAAATACAAGAAGCTGTTCGTGTCAAGCAGAAAGAGCTCAGGTAGTTGAAGGCCGACGGGTTTCCTTGCTGCCGAGCTTGCGAGCTTGCACCGATCGCGCTGAACAGATTCAGCCCAGAGTTGCAGAATGACCTACCCAGCATTCGGTGGGGCCTAAGAGGTGTGCATCTGCAAAACGCACTTTTGAGGCGCCACCCCGATGTCGCACACAGCTACAAAACCCTGCTTGAAAGTATCTGTAGGTCTTGAGCATGCAATACAATCCCTGCGGCACTGCAGGTGTTTTCAGTGGGACGTTATCCTTCATCTTCAACCACATCGAGTGCTTTCTCTGCACATGGAAGCCCCGACCGGCCTGCAAGGGGGGGGTTTGAAGGAATAAACGGTGATTGTTGGATCAGCAGCTGGCACCCCCTCTACCTAGGCAGGGTGCCACCTTTTCGGAAGCTGTGTGGGAGGCTGCACGGCTAGGCTTTTTGGAGCCGGACCCTCGCGACGACTTGAGTGGTGGCGATGTCCAGCGCAAAGCGACCTGTCAGCATATGCAACATCGAGACAGAAAAGCAGAGAGTAGCAGAGAGGAGTTTTGGAAAGAGACGGAAACAGTGTTGGAAGATGGTGAGGTATCGAGGGCTTGGCAATCAATGCTAATAGCTGCTAATACTGTCCAGCAGGCTTCCGCTATAGTACCCGAGAAAAGAAGGAAATACGTACGCGCGCGCGCGCGTGTGTGTGTGTGTGTGGACCTCTGTTGCCAAGAGGTAATGTCAGTTGCTGTTTTGCAGGGGG